GCTTTAGACACGCCAAGGGGAAAACGGGGATCGAGGATGACCAGGCCAAACGAGGGTCTCGGAGGCAACGCCGGCCTTGGCGCACGCAAGCGCCAATCCGACGACACCGCCTCGCTCGCCCGCCACATCGACGACGCCATCGCCTTGGCTGCAGCCGCTACCTCTGCCCAGCCTGCTCCCGCATCGGTGCCTGCTTCCCTGGGCCTCCAAATCGAGGCCTTTGCCCGCACCGTCGTCACCGATGTCATCGTTGAGACCGGAGGCGTCATGGCTGTCTCGGCACTCGCCCGCCAACCGTCGTCGTAGCGGCACACCCAACTCTTCCCACACACATACACACACACACACACACACACATATATACACATTTACATACATGAGCTCCAGCCCAAGACGGCGACAGCGGGCACTTGCTGCTGCACGCCACGCTGTCCAGGCGAGTACAACAAACCGCTCGCAGAGCCCGCGGGTGCAGGACCGGTTGGTGCTGGGGAGGAGCACCTGGGGCCAGCCACAGGCCCGGTCCGAGTGGGAGAGCCATCCTCAGCTGCTAGACCGACGGGCGGCAACGGTGGCCGGCGCCGGCATGTATGCCAGGGACGATTGGGAGGCCGCGGCAACGGTCGAGGCAACCGGATGGAACGCTGACGGCCTGGGCGTCGGCCTCGCGGCCTCGGTCCGCCGCGACGTTTTCGCCGATCTCAGCGTCGCCGTCGACACGTCGCCGGTCGGGCTTGCCGCGCTTCAGCACCGCCACTCACAGCTGCGAACGGTGCAAAAGACCCGGTTCAAAGAGGTGCTGATGGCCGAGCACATGGCGGCACGGATTGCGCGCGCCCGCAAAGCCGATGCCCACGTCCACGCCGCACGCTCCGCCGTCGCGCGCAAGCTTCGGATGGAGGAGATGCGCCGGCGGACCGAGACCGCCAAGCTGATTGCTGCCGGCCGCGCTGAGCGGGCCAAGGCTGCTGATGCCGCTGCCGCTTCTGCTGCTGCTGCTGCTGCTGCCGAGGCGAAAGCGGACGCTGAGCGGGAAGCCCGTGAGCTTGAGCTCGCCATGCGGCCGCTCTCCGAGTGCGATCCGTACGACATGCTGTTGCGGTCGCGAGCGTCCGACAGCTCGCTTAGCCGGCAGGCGTCAGAGGATCCAGCAACAATGTGGGCGCGTGGCCTGTACGGCGGGGACGAGGGTTGCGAGAGCGATGACGACAGGTACGACGGGGAAGCGTCGCTGTCGTGGATGGAGCGCCGCAAGCTGCGGCGGGTGCGCAAGGACGCGCTGGCGCAGGCTGCCGCCGCCGCCGAGGCAGCGGCCGCTGAGAATACTGCAGCACGCGCAGCTGAGATTGCGGTCAAGCGCGAGCGGCTGCGCGTGGCACGCGCTGCTGCCCGTGCCGCATTTGATAACGCCGACGCGATCGGGAGCGCCGGCGACAGCTTTGGCTCGGTGACTTCCGCCGATCCTGTGGTGGCTGCTTTTCGCGGCTACGCGCTTGGCGCGCGCGACGAGGGCGGACCGCCGCCAGCGCTGTTTTACCTTGCGCTCGGCGCGTTGCTTGCCGGTGACCGCGCAGCTGTAGGGAGCGCAGATGTGGCAACGAAGCTGCATCTGCTGCGGTACGTGCTCGACCACGAGGCGTACGTCGACTCGGGCTTGCGGATCCAATTCCAGGCGGACGCAGAGCTGCTTGCGGCGTTTGCCTCGTTTGTGGGCTACATGTCGGAGAAGAACGTCGAGGTGAGTGCGGCGTTTGGACGGCGGTGGGCGCGGCCACCGCCGGCGCTGCCTGCACCGTCCCAGGGCGCGCGGGCGCAGCTGGCCGAGCCGGCGTCGCGCTGGCCGGCCCGCCGAGCATGCGACTACATCTCAGACGCGGACATTCTGGAGGTGCACTCGTACCGGCGGCCGCCAGTCTTTGTGGAGCACGTGTGCCAGGCGCTGTGCATCCTCCTCCGGCGACCGATCTCGCAGGCACGCAAGGTGCAGCACTCGGTCCAGCTCCTGCACGCGCTCGACGGGCTCTCTCCAGAAGTCCTCACTCTCGGCGACGTGCGGCGGCTGTACCGGCTTGTGGGCTCGGATGAGTTTTCGCCGGCGCTCGGCGCCGAGGTTGCCGCGCCTGTGGCGCGCATGGTCGCCTTTATCTGCGACGTCTTTGCGTACATGGTCCGCTACCACGAGGCCGCCATCGGCAGCGACGACGGCGTCATGGCCGACCGCCTTGCCTTTGAGCGCCAGCAGAATCAGCTGGTCATGCAGAAGCGGCAGCTGATCAAGGCGCAGAACTTGCTCGCCAACCTCCTCACCACCACCAAGTACGACTCCGTTGATGACGAGTTCTTTGCCACACTCGCCCGGTGAGCCATCTCTCTCTCTCTCCCTCTCTCTCTCTCTCTCTCTCTCTCTCTCTCTCTCTCTCTCTCTCTCTCTCTCTCTCCCAACCAACCAAACACCAACATGCATACCCCATCCGCATTCCCATCACCCATCCCATCACCCTGATCAGCCCCAATCAGCCCCGCATCGCCCCCCCCCCTCCCCGCCCCCCTCTCCCTTCGCAGGCGAAGAAAGGCCCAGCGCCCGAACTGACCCCTAACCCCACCCCACACACCACACCACACCACACTCCACTCCACTCCACACACACACTCACACACACTCTCTCACACACACACACACATACATACACGTAATGATGGAGAGCCTGCGCGGTCTGACCATGGCCACAGCCATGGAGAACGAAGTGGTGGCGTTTGTGGTGTACTCGGTCCTGGTCCTGGTCGTGGCCGACGCCTTTGTCACCTTTGTTCTTGGCGTCTCTCCGCGTGCTCGGTGGTACTTTGTCCATGCTATTGGCAATGGATTTGTGTGTGCCACGTGCATTGCACCTGCTCTCACTTTTCTGGCTGATCCCGTGGACGCTCTGCGCAATCCCATCCGCTTTGATCCCTCGGCAACCATCATCGCCGTCATCCACGCCTACCACATTGCTCTCTTCAAGTGCTCCACCGCAGACATTGTGCATCACTTTCTCTTTGTCTTTATCGGCACCACCGTCCAGGTCTTCTACGGCGGCGAGTACGGCGGCCTTGCTGCTGTCTACCACTTTGCCATCTGCGGCCTACCTGGTGGCATCGACTACTTCCTCTCGGGCCTCGTCGACATGGGCCTCGTCGCCAAGATCACCCGCATCCGCGTCGCTGTCGAGCTCAACATGTGGCTCCGCTCACCGCTGCTGATTGCCTGTGCCACCTTTGCCCTTCTCTGGTACACCATGTCCGACAAGAACGCCTTTACCACCGTCGGTGCCGGCCTCATGGTCTTTATCTCGGTCGGCAACTCACAGTACTACGCCCGCCAGGTCTGTCTTGCCGCCGGCCGCAAGTACAAGATCGACTAACACGACCGATCTGTACCACATGCACCCACCTCCACTCTACCGATCCACACCAATCCAAACCATCAGTCCCCATACCCGCCGCCCCTCCCACCCGCCGCCCCTCCCACCGTTTCCACTTTGGCGCCACCCGCAGCCAGCCAGCCAGCCACACACACACACACACATACACACACACACGCACACACACGCACACATACACACCACTACACATCCACACATGGGTGACGTGGTGGTAGACGCCCTCCCCCCGAGCACGGCTGCTGCCCAGGAGGTCCTGTTCCATGTCCGACGTGCTCTGTTTGAACCCGGCCTGTCGCCCGCTGCCACTGCTGTCTACCCCATCGGCGAGCTGAATCCGGTGGCGCTCCTGGCCGGCTTTGATGACCTCATACAGGCCTCCCCTGAGACCCTGGTCATAACTTCGGTCATTGATCTGGCTCGCATGGCTGCCGCCAACAGCTCCGTGGACGCCCTGGTGCGGAACGGCCTCACTCTCGCTCCGCCTGGCATGGTCTTCCCCGCTGGTCACACCCCGCCTGGCGCTGAAGAGCTGCTTGTCTGCCACGTCGCTGTCGGCAGGGCCTTTGCTCTCGACATCGCCGCTTGGGATCCGCGAAACATGCCGCCGCTCCCGCCGGGCTTTGACTCGTGGGCTCTACTGGAGCAGGTTGCCGATCCGGCCACCGGCGCCCTCGTCTGGGCTCCGCCGCAGTACCTTGTGCCATCGGCAGACCGCGTTGCTGTCCGCTACTACGTCCGAATCAACCGCAACGCCCGTGTGAGTCCGCCGCTTGTCCGCGCGTCCGATGCCTCGCTCGTTGCCGCTTGCCCCGATCATCCCGACCAGCCGCTCTCCTACTGGTGTGCCACCTGCGAGGCCGCTGTCTGTATTCACGACAAGATGATGGGCTCGCACGCGCTCGGCCCGGCTGCCCAGCACCCGCTTGTCCCGCTCTCGACCATCCTCGCCACCACCCACGATCAGATCCGCGCCGGCCCGCGCGCCCACCCGGACGTTGCCGCCCGCGCCGCCGCCCTCGATGCCAACCTCGCCAACCTCGACGCCGCCCGCGCCGCCGTCCGCGACCAGGCCGACCGTGCCGCTACTGCCCTCCGCGCCAAATACGATGCCGCCCTTGCCTCGCTCGAGTCGATCACCGCCTTTCACAACGACGTCCTCCGCGCCGACGAGGTCGAGCTCCGTCGCCAGGCCCAGCTCATTGCCAGTGTCGAGGCTGTCGAACAGGCCTCGCTCGCTGCTCTTGACCCGGCCTCGCTTGTTGCCTCGGTCACCGCGTCGCGCGCCGCTCTGGTCCATGCCCTCGCTGCTGCTCCGCTCCGCGACGCCAAGTGGAACCCGAGCCTCGCCGTCCGCGGCGAGCTCACCGTCACTTCTGGCATTCCTCCCGTCCCGCCGCACAATCCGCCGGCCAACCACCCGCCGCCCGAGTCGCCGCTGACCCATGGCAGACCGCCGGCCGGTGCTCCCATCGCCGCTGACCTGCTGTGGCGCAAGGTGGTGACCACCCCGCAGGGCGCGTTCCGCCCCGCCAAACCTGCCCGGCCAGCCTCGCCGCCTCGGGAGTCGCTCCCCTGCGAGTCCGACGAGCGTCCAGCCTCGCCGCCTGCTCGCGCCTCCCGCGCCTCCCGCGCCTCCCGCTCGCTGTCCAAGTCCCGAATCCGCCGTCGGCACTCGGAGTACGGACACAAGTCGCCTGGGGCCCCTGGCGTGAACAAGTCCAAGCAACGCCTCTACCGCCGCCGCGGCGCACGCCGCCTTGTCCGGCTCATAATGCAGGACGAGTTTGCACTCGCCCTAGCGCTGGGCCAGGTTCTCGCCGGCGAGTCCCGGCCCGGCCCATCGGGAGCTAGCCCTGCCACCGCCGCTGCCGCCGTCTTTGCCTCGCTCCGGGAGACTGCGTACAACCTTGTCCAGCTGGCGTGCGCTGAGGGCGCTGGCCTCCGGCTGGTCCTCGCCGGCGTCCGAGCTCAGCTCGACTCGGGCCTCGCCGCCTCCGCCGCCGCCCGCGTCGATGCCGACCTTGTCGCCTCGCTCTTCAACGGCTCGTCTCTCGCATCGCACGTCATGGTCGCGTACGCCCAGGTCGTGGGCCTCGGCTTTGTGCAATCAGTCCTCGCGCCAGTTTTTGCCGCTCTCGCCCGCCCTCTCCCGCACTCCGCGCCTCACCGCCTCCGCACTCTTGCCGACACCGTCATTGCCGCGCTGCTCGCATCAGATGCCGTCCTTCCGCTGCAGTTTGGCGCTCTCATCGGCGAGCTCTACCGCGCCACCGCTGGTGACGGCGCTCCCGACGCTGGCGTCAAGGCTGTCGGTTCGTTCATTGTTCTCCGCGTCTTCTGTCCGGCCATCGCCAAGCCGGAGCTCTACGGTCTCGGCCCCGTGCAGGGCGTCGAGGCCGACGAGCTCCTCGCCGTCTCTACAATCCTCCAGCACCTAGTCTCTGGCATCGCATTTGCCGCCGACTCGCCGCACGCCGCTCTCAACGACTTTCTCCGCGCCACCTACCCTGCGCTCCGGGCCTGGCTTGAAGAGCTCGGCCGCGCCAACGCCGATCCCGGCGCCGCCTCGCGCGGAACCGAGTATCACACCCCGCGCATCGACGCCCGAGAGCTCGAGAGCTCGATGCTCGCCCTCGCCCACTGCCTCCGCCACCACGCCTCTCACCTCCCGCCTCAACTCACCTCCATCCGCCTTCAGCCTGGCGAGCCGCAACCCAAGCCGCAGTCGGGCGCCGATCCGAATGCCGATCCGCTCAGCCTAGACGTCATCCTCACTACCATTCTTGCCGCCGGCACCAGATGACTGCCGCCTGCCTTTTAGCGACGAGCAATGAGCTCAACGACGTGTCGTCCGAGCGAGCCGTACGCCGGAATGCCGTGAATCCCAGCGAGTGTCGGATGCGCCACTCCGCTCACGCACACCGCATACTTGGCTGACGACTCGAGCAGCCGCCGGCACATGGCAAAGGTCAGCTCGTGGTCCTCGCTGCCAAACATGCCGGTAAAGCCAAAGGCGACGTAGCTGCCAAGAAGGCTGCCCGGCACAAACTTCACCGCCGTCCATCGCTCCCTCGCCGTCACCGCCCACAGCCTGCGATCGGTGGTAATGCGTCCAACGACGCCAAATCCTCGGCCATGCACGCAACCACGGCGCGGATCCAAGCGGCTTCTCCCGCCGACAGCCTCGTGTCATCGGCGTCAAGACTAAACAGCCATGCATCTTCCCCGCCGACAGTCCACCCCATGTACGCCGATCCGAAGCTGCTTGCGCCATCAAAGACGAGCAGAACAAGCCGCTGATCCCCCACGGCGCCGCGTCCGGGCCGTCGCCCGTAACTCACCTGCGACACGCCCGTCGGCACGCCCACCTCGACATGAGCGACCTCGCCAGTCCGGACCACCACCACCAGCGGCAACAAAGGCAAATCCAACCCCGCTGGCATGTGTACGACAATGCCCATGGCAACGCCTGTGTACCTTTACACCCGCCGCAGACCAGGCCGCCGACAGGCGCGTGGCGAGGCGCGTGTCGGCCGCCGCCCGCCGACCAACCCGCCACCCGCACGCTCCGGAACGCTACACGTTTTCGGTGATGACAACGGCCGTGCCGACAACCAACATGACGCAACCCCAAAGGCCGAGGGCAGTTGCGGCGTGCTTCCGCCACACCGGATCGGTGGCTGGCCGGAGGCCGAGGTAGAAGGCGGCCGGCAAGATGTAGACGAGGATGGAGACAATGACGGCGCCGGCAAACGAGAGAACAACCTCGACGTTGGGGATGAGGACGCCGAGAAAGGCGGTCGTGCCCAGCAAGCCGATGGTGATGGAGGCGTGGATGGGCCAGGCCATGGCCTCGACAAGCGGCGGCTTGGTGACGGCGAGCGCTTCGCGCGGAGTGGTGACGAGGTAGTGCAGGTGGACAATGTTTTCGCGCATCGGATGGACAAAGAGCGGCGAGGAGAACATGAGCGTGATGGCGAGGCCGAGCTTGGCCACGCCGACGTATGGGTTGTCCTCGTCGACAAAGTTGTTGAACACGTTGCCATCGACCGAGAGGCCAAAGGTGATGTAGCCAAAGATGCCGACGGTGAGGTAGACGACAGCACAGGTGATGAGCGCGAGCCAGGCTACAAACATCATCCGCCGCCCGGTCGGCTTGCGCATCTCCTCGTACACTGTCGGGACCTGGACGTGCGAGGCAAAGGCAAAGCCGATGATGGGCAGCGCCACAAAGATCTGTGGCGAGATGTTAAAGTACGCCAGCCGCCGCCCGTGAGACAAGTCGACTGCGTTGATGTTCCCGCGCTCCGAGTCGTCCCATCCGTGCGTGATGGCATGCGCCACCACCATGCCTGTGAGATACAGCATGCACGCCACTGCCACCAGCGAGGTGTGCGCGAGGAACGAGATCCGCCGCAGCAGCGAGAGCGGGATCATGACCGCCCGTTGAGAATGACCGCCACGCCGACCCGGGTAAACGCCCAGTTGCTCGTGTTGAACCACTCCTCCAACACGGCAGGCACCAAGTCGCCGATGATGATCTGGTAGGCGAGGAGTGCCGAGAAGCAGTGCAGGACAATAAAGACGTCCACTGCTGCGCACAGCCGCGGGCCAAACACCGCATTGGCCAGGGCCTGATACGAGAACGGGCGCTTGCCGAGCAAGTCGGTCGCCCAGACAATAAACTGGATGCCCAACGCTGCCAGTGCCAAGTTCAGCATCATCAGCATCGGGCCGAGGATGAGCCCGGTCAACGAGAGCGCAAACGGGATCGACAACGTCCCTGCTCCGAGCGTCACGTTGCCGAGATTGAACCACGAGCCCAAGATCCCTGCACTCCCTACTTGCCCGTCCACAACCTCGACGCCATCGCCCATCTCCAGCAACGAGCTCGTCTCTGTCTGCCCGCCCAATCTCTTCCCGCCGAGCCTGCCCTCCTGCCCACGCCCGCCACGACCGCCACGACCGCCACGACCGTCACCCTCGCCACCCCCGCCAACCCTCCCGCTGCTGCCGTCTCCGCCGCCGCCTCGCCTCCCGTCACCTTTTGCTCCCATTGCCAGCCTGTGCTCTTGCTCGTGGCTCCTGAGCCAAGAGTGCCTCGCCCTCGCCCTCGCCCTCGCCCTCGCCCTCGCCCTCGCCCTCGCCCTCGCGCAGGTCGGTCTCATCGGCCGGAGTCCTCTGCAAGCATATGACTTCCACCTTGCCCTTCCCGCACACACATGCCGAACCATGTACCGTGATTATGAAGACACGCACACACGCACACATACAACACACACGTACACATACAACACACCCACACACGCACACACGCACACACGCACACATACAACACACACAACACACACACACACAGCGCAACACCACAACGACACATCCCTACCTCCTCAAGCAAGTCTCCCCAGACGCCAACTCATGCCCCCCCCCCCCCCCCCCCACTCACCCAACACAAAATTTTACACCCCCCATGTCAATGGTATCCCGCGGCGTTGTTCCTTGGCCGCTTTTCGCCCCAACTCGCTCCGCAATTCGCAAACTGTTCGTTCGTCCGTTCAATCGTTCGTGCGTTACAGCCATCAACCGCAGAGAGGCTCGCGCGGTAGGGAAGGGGGAGGGGAAGGGAAGGTGGAGGCGGGAGACGGTAGCACCTCTCGACGGATGGCAAAGGGTAAAGGGCCAAGGGTACCCCACTGGCCACGGGTGCTGTAGTGGGTGGAGGTGCAAGTAATCAAGGTAGCGGCCGTGGTGGAGGTCATGCCAGTGGTCATGCTTCGCCAACCGGTGGCGGTGGCGGTGGCGGTGGCGGTGGCGGTCCAAGCACTCCGTCTCAACCGCCGTCGCGCTCACCCGCAACAGCCTCGGTCCCTCATACCAATGCCACACCTGGTACTTCCAATTCTGGTCCTGCTCGAGCAGACGAACGTCACTCTGTCGGTGCCTCGCGTCGAGCTGCTGCTGACTCGCCTGCGGCCCAGCGTCGCCCGGCGGCTGCTCCAAGATACCCGGTTCATGGTCAGCTCTCGTCGGGCGAGTTGGTGGCAGTCAACAACGGCCAGGTCCCCGAGTTCCGCATCACCGGTGACGGCAGCTCGGAGCCTCCGTCGTCGTCCAAGTGGTGGGCTTGCTTCCCATGCTGCGGCGCGTCGTCGCCGCCGACCCGCCGCACTGACCGGCGCGTCGGCCCGGCCTCTACTGTCGCTGTGGCCCGGGTGCCGGTCACGCCGCGGTCGGCGGCGGCGGCGGCAGCAGCGGCGGCGACCCGGTCGGGTATGACGACCACGCCGCGTGGCGAGTCAAGCATGCGGATGAGCTACGGGCCGGGCACGATGCTGGGCTCGTCTTTGGGCGCGCCGTCGGCAGGTGCCGAAGAGGCAGCGGCGGCGGCGGCGTACGCGCAGCAGCACGTCTCGCCACGGCGGTCGTCATCGATTCGCTTCTCCTCGCTCCGGCCGGTGCCCGAAGGCGCGACGCCGCCAGGCTTGCAGGCCGAGTCGCGTGTCCTCTCGCGCATCGGCTCGTCGCAGAACCTCATTTCGCCTCGCACGCTGACCAACGTGCGGCATGGCGCTGGGCTGGGCAAGCTCGATGAGGACGCGGCCTGGTACCAGGTCCGGTCGCCGGGTGGGACCAACACGCCCGGCTCCATCTCGCGCAAGTCGTCCTTCCGCGGAATCCTAGGCTCGGGCGGCGTCTCGCCACGGCGTGGCATTGTCTCCCGCGCGTCGTCCATGTACCTCCAATACGCCGCGTCTCGGACAGTGGACCCCTCGGTGGCGCGGCGGCTGACGTCGGGCTCCTTCTCTGACGACGATACCATGTCGTGCGTCGACGAGGTCTCGTTCCCGCGCGGCATGGCCCGCCAGTACATGTTTGTCTTCCAGGACGTCGATGATCGCGAGCTCGACGCCTCGCGCTTCAAGCTGGAGTGGGGCGAGTTTGAAGACTACGCCGTCAACTACGATGTCATGCTCGGTCAGGGCGCATACGGCGAAGTTTACAAGGCTACCCACAAGCCCACAGATTCAGAGTGCGTGGTCAAGACCATCAAGGTCGACAAAGAGTCGGTTCTCAAGCTCAAACAGGAAATCATGATGCTCGAGCGGGTCAAGGGCGGGCCGTGCATTGTCGAGTACATGGGCCTTGTCCGCAACCCGGATGACGACACCAAGCTCATTGTCTTTGAGTTTGTGAACAACCCCAACTACAAGGAGTCTTTCCGCGACATGACCGACCTCGACGCCCGGTGGTACCTCTTCCGCGTCCTCAAGGGCCTCGACTACGCACACTCGCTCGGCGTCATCCACCGCGACATCAAGGGCGGCAACATCTGCTACGACCCCATCACCAAGAAGCTCCGCATCATCGACTGGGGCTTTGGCGTCCACTACGTGCCATCGCGGCCGTTCACCTCGTGGCCCGGCACCCGTCCCTACAAGGCGCCCGAGCTCTTTCTCCACTACTCGTACTACGACTACTCGGTCGATGTCTGGGCCTTTGCTTGCCTCATGGGCTCTCTCATCTTCCGCCGCACCCTCTTCCGTTCCAAGGACAATCGCCATCAGATGGAGCTCATTGCCCGCGCCCTCGGCACAGCCTCGTACGAGCGCTACCTCGCCAAGTACGCCCGCCCGCCCTTTAAGCTCGTCGCCAAAAAGTATCGCCACCTCGGCGAGCCGCACATGGGCCGTGGCGGCTTCCAGGTCTACGTCTCGTCCAAGACCCCTCTTGCCAACTTTGAGGCCCTCGATATCATCAACAAGGTCCTCGTGTGGGATCACGAGAAGCGTCCCACTGCCTCGGAGCTCATACAACATGCCTACTTTGATCCTGTCCGTCATCGCGATGTCAACTCTTCACAATAATAGTGTACCGCCCAGCCTCACACCCGATCACGTTCACCCGTCCCCCGAACCACGCGCCTCCCGAATCGCGCGCCCCCCAAGCCCTGGCCGCTGCCGGCTGGCTCGCCAAGCGTACAGGTCACACACCGCACACACACCACACACACCACACGCGCACACACACGCACACACACGCACACATACGCACACATACGCACACACCACCACACATCACACGCACACATACACGCCATGACCTCCCCCCTCCTCGCTGTCGCCCTCCTCTCCTTCTTCCTCGCCCTCACCACCGCCACCTTGCCCCTCTCCGCAACAACCCCGTTCCTCGCCCGGACCGCACCTCCGCCCGGATGGCGATGCTCGACGGAACCCTTTGATGGCCGACGCTCAATGACCCACATGCGGATCCGACTGGCGGCAAGGGTAGATGCTACAGAGGCGGCCGCAGTGCATGCTGCTGCCCTTCAGGTGGCGAGCCCCGGATCAGGCAAGTACGCCAAGTACTGGTCGACCGAGAAAGTCGTCGCTGCGTTGCCCTCGGCTATGGTGGCAGCAGAGGGCATCGTCTCGATTCTTGCCGAGACGCATGGCATTGCTGCTCGTGTTGCGCCCGATGGTGCGTCCGTCGTCCTCGAGTCGATCCCCATTTCCCTCGTCGAGGAGATCTTCAGTGGCATGGTTGTCCACGCGTGCTCGCCTACCAAGCCGCTCCATGCAGATGTGATCGTTGCTGCTGCACTCGGTACCGCTCACCTCGCACCGGCTCTCGCTCGCCATCTTGCCTTTGCCACGGGCGTGTCGGACTTTCCACCGCCGTCCGTGCTGGAGCGGATGGCGGCTCGCGCCGGCCCGCTTAGCCCGCCATCGCCAGGGCCATGCAAGGCCAGCCAGCAGCAGTCGAACAACCTCGTCATTCCGTCAGTGGTTCGCGAGCTTGTTGGCATCCCGCGCGGCAAGAGAGTTGCGTCTCAGCTCGCCACCCAGGCCGCCATCGAGTTTGGCCTGGTCATCCCGCACGAGACCGGCCAGGAGGGTGGCGGCGGCGGCGGGTTCCTCTTCTCAGACCTCGCCGCGTTTGCCGAGCTGGCCTCCGTCGACGCTCCGCACCAGTTCAACGTCTCACGTATCATCGGGCCGTTTGCGCAGCACAACTACACCGGCAACGCCGAGAGCGTGCTCGATGTGACGACGCTACTTGGCGTCGCGCCGGGTGCGCCCACCACCTACGCCACTTACCTCGGCTGGATGTATGAGTTCCTCACCGACACCATCGGCGACCCGGAGCGCGCGCTTGTCCACTCGATCTCGTACGGCACTCCCGAGTACCTGCAGTGCAACAAGACCCAGAACGGCGAGCCGTTCCACGTCTGCGCCTTTCTCGGCGTCGATGCCCGTGGCTACATCGAGCGGTGCGACCTCGAGTTTGCCCGCACCGCCCTCCTCGGCCTCACTATCGTAGCCTCATCCGGTGACAACGGCGCGCCCGGCGAGCTCTCGCGCGAATGCGAGCTCGACAACACCATCCACCCGCTCCACACCGTCTTTCCGGCCGCGTCGCAGTACACGACAGCGGTCGGCGGTGTGGTGCTGGTCGAGGCCGCGCCCGGCCCGCCACCCGGTGCTCCGCAGCCGCCGATCTGCACTATGGCTCATCCAGGCCCGCCGCTGCCTGGCCCGCCGGCCTGTGGCGGCCCGCCGTACGCGCTCACAACCTCGATGTGTTCCAACGGCGGCATCACTACTGGCGGCGGCTTTGCCAACTACTCTGTGCTTCCCGAGTGGCAGGCGCCTACCGTCCGTGGCTACCTTGACTCCTCGCCGCGGCTTCCGCCGGCCACCGCCTTTCACGCCAACCACCGCGCCTTCCCCGACGTCGCCCTGCTTGCCTCCAACATCCTCATCATTCTCAACGGCGAGGCCCCGGTCGGTGCCGGCACCTCGGCGTCGGCCCCGCAAATGGCGGCCCTTCTCACCCACGTCAACGGCGAGCTGCTCGCTAGCGGCCTCCCGCCCGTCGGCTGGATCAACCCGCTCCTGTACACCCTCCCGCCATCGGCCTTTATCGACATCACCACGGGCTCGAACGAGTGCACCGAGGCCGCGTGCTGCAAGTACGGCTACGGTGCCGCGTCTGGCTTTGACGCTGTCACCGGCCGCGGCGTTCCCCTCTTCGAGGGTCTCCTTGCCGGCCTTGCCGCCGCTCACGGCACCGCACTCTAGCACGCCTGAGCCCCGCCCTCGCCCTGGCTCCGCAGATGCTCGATGAGGCTAGCCAGCGCCTGCCGCTGCGCCGCCAGTCCCTCGCGGGTCTGCACCCCGGTCTTGAGCGCGTCGACCGAGTGCATCGCGTCGTCGACTGCTGCCCGGGCCTCGCGCTCTACCGCCGCCAGATGCTGCGCCCGTTGCTCGTTGTACGCATACCAGTTGGCCTGCCGGCTGGTAGCCGCGGCCTTGAGTCGCGCCACGGCGTCCAGCAGCTCGCGCTGCTTGGCGTTGTGGTCGGTAGCGACTCGTGCCAGTTCGGCCCGGCTCGCCTCGAGCGCCTCTTCGAGCTCGCGGACACGCGATGGCGTGTCGTGCCCGCCGCCGCTGCCGTCGTCATCGCCGATGCTTGCCTCGAGACGTGCCAGTTGCGCGTTGAGCCGGGCAATCGTCTTCTCCAGCGCTGCAATCTGTAGCTCCTTGGCCTCACAGCCGTTGCAGGTAACACTACCGTCCTCATCTCCCTCGGCCGCCTCGGCGTCGGCCGCTGCGGTCTCCAGCTCGCGCTGCAGCTTGGCCGCCAGCGCACGGGCGTCGTCTCGCTCGCGCTCCAGCTGAGCTACGCGACCCGGCGCCGCATTTTCGTCGGCACTGGGGCTGCTCGCCGCTCGCGCGCTCGCCTGTGCCAGCGCAGACTCGCTTAGACTGCGGTCGGCTTGGAGTAGCTCAATCAGATTGCGCTGCTCGCGGAGCTCCGACTCGAGGCCGGCGATGCGGTCGGCATCGGAAGCGCTTGCCGCACGGGCCTTGCTCAGCTCCTCGGTGAGCGCGGTGACGGTCGGGCCGAGGTCTTGCGCAGGTGCCACTGCTGACGGCGACTCGCTCTCGCCTCCGCTCTTCGACAATGGCTGCGCTGCCTGCAGTGCCTCTAGTTTGGCTTCGGCTTCGTCGCGGCTGCGGGTGACGATTGCCACCTGCTTTTGCAGCGAGTCGATGGTCTGCTGCAGAGCTGCCAGGTCGGCATCAGCGCCAGCGCGGCTAGCCCGGTCAGCCGCTGCAACCTGGCTCCGCAGCTCGGCAATAGTCTCGCGCAGCGTCGCAATGTGCTGCTCCAGTGCAGCGTTTTCAGCGGCCATGAGCGCGAGTTCGGGTATCGCCGCCGGAGGCGTGACCTGCCGAGGTGGCGACGCTGTCGGCGATTGGGCTGCAACCCGCGCCTCGCGCTTGGCAGCCGCAAGCTCTTCGCGGAGTGCTTCCAGCTCGGCGGCGGTAGCGAGCGCCTGGGCCGGTGACCTGGGGGCAGCGCGGGCGTTGGCGGCATCAGCGAGTGCTGCGTCGCGCGAGGCCTTGACAACGTCCAGCTGCTCCCGGAGTGCGTCGAGCTCGTCGGAGCGGGCGGCGTGGAGCTTGCCGATGTGGTCTTCAAGGGCGGTGACCTGGGCAGCAGCTGACGCGGCCTCGGCGCGGGCGGCGTCGCGGCTCTGCTGCGCGACGGCAACCTGCTCGCGGAGCGCGTCGAGCTCAACGGTTCGCGACGCGCGAAGGCTCGCCATCTGGTCCTCGACGGCAGCGACCTGGCTGCGGGCGGAAGCGGCCTCGGCGAGCGCGGCATCGCGGCTCTGCTGAACAACCACAAGTTGCTCGTGGAGCGCGGCGGCGCGGGCGGTGTCACGACTCTGGTTGAGAACATCGACTTCGCTGCGGAGCGAGGCCGCCCGGGACGCGGCGTTGACATGGGCGTCGGCGTGGGCGCGCGCAACTGTGAGCTCGGCATGGGCAGCATCGCGCGAGGCGTAGGCAGCGGTGAGTTGCTCGCGGAGCGCATCAAGCTCGTCGCTCCGCTCGCGCCGCGCAGCTGTGAGTCGGGCCTCGGCTGCCGTCGCCTGGCTACGCGCGGCGGCGACGTCGGCAACTGCGGCGTCGCGCGAGGTCTTGACAACCGCCAGCTGCTCACGCAGCGCGTCGAGCTCGGCGGCGTGCGCAGCGCGGAGCTCGGCGGCATGGTCCTCGAGCGTAATGATTTGTGCGCGGAGTGAGGCGGTCGATGTGGCGGCCTCGACCGAGCTCAGTGCCGCTGCCGATGCCGGATGCTCGCGAACGGCGGCGAGCTGTTCGGCAAGCGCCTCGTTCTCGGCATGGAGGACGGCCGAGTGTGCTTCGGCCGCTGCCGCCGCCGCCGCCGCCGCCTGGAGCTGGTCGGCAAGTGCCTTGTTCTCGGCGCGGAGGTCGACGGCGGCGCCAGACTCTAGCTTGCGCAGCTGGGCATGAAGCGAGTCGATCTCGGACTGGGCTTCGGCCAGCTGGGCCTCGACATGCTGCGCAGCGAGCGGGATGGGCGCCGGCGAGGGCGACGCCGAGCGTCCGGCGAGGACTCGGCGCTTGGCGGCAGCGAGCTCTGCGGCAGAGGCCGTCCGCATGCGGGCAACGTCACCGGGCACTTGCAGCTGAACCCCCTGGGCGGCAGCCTCCTCGATGTCTGCCAGCCACATCTCACGGATGTGCATGTTCTGTCGGCGGAGCTCTTCGTTCTCGTACATGAGGTCCTCGAGAACAAGGCCCGACGTGTGGGGGCCGCCCGAGGCCGCGTGATCGAGCGAGGTCGATGCATTGCGGAGAGCATGCAGATGCATCTCCAGGCCCTCGATGACGCCGCGCTGCTCGGTGACCAGAGCACGATAGGCGTCGAGTGTGTCGTCTGCCGACGCCTCCAGCTGCTCCAGCGACAAGCCCCGAGCCGGCGCAGACGCAGCCAGCAGACTCATATGCGCAGCGTGTGTCTCTTCCCTTGCCAACCGCTTCGATCGCCGCACCTCGCGGGCAAGGCCGTCTAGCTCGCCCTGAACAGCCACACAGGCCAGATCCAGCAGCTGGACCGCCTGAGGCGGGAGATCAGGCGATGTTGTCAGATGAGCCTTGACATGAGCCAGAAGTCTTGCCGCAGCCTCAGCCAGCAGTCCATCCTCAGGCGCAGCGTCCATACCGGCAAAGATCAGCTGACACAAGAGCGTGAGCAGCGAGGCATGGACCGCTGACGACCTCGCCACCACATCCGTCAGCGCACTCAGGACAGACCGCGCCCCTGTATTGGTCTCGCTAGCCGCCACCAGTTCCTCCACAGCATCCTCCAGCTGGCTCTGCTCGCCGTCGACCTGTTCTGCCGTCGTCCGTAGCCATGCTGTTAGCGTTGCGGCCGGGAACATGGGGCAGGGGGGGGGGGGGAGGGAGGGGGAGGGGGTCCGTTGGCCGGGCGACGAGTGGTGGCGGCCGAGTGGGCGGGTCGGGCAGGGGGGGGGGGGGGGATGGCGGTTGGCCAAGGGAGGGTGTAATTGAGGATTGGCTATCATGTTCGCCGCCGATTAGGTGTGGGTGTGGTCGGTACCCGCGGCTTGGGTGGTGGCCCGGTCGGGATGGGTGGTGGTGGCGCAGCGGATCCAGAGCCAGAGCTTGATCCAGAGCCTGAGCTTGATCCAGAGCTCGAGCTCGAGCCAGATCCAGAGCTAGAGCCAGAGCCAGATCCAGAGCTCGACGACGCGTCAAGCTGAATGGCTTCGCGCTTGACTGGTCGTGCAGGCGGTGGCCGCATGGCCGGTGATGCCGGATACAGCTCGCGCGCTGCTGGATGCGCCGCACGATCTGCGCTGCTGTCTCGCCGGCCAACAGCCACCGGCTCAGAGACTGAGGCTCGCCGCCGGGACACCGACGAGCGCCGACGCGGCGGCGGCGCACTCTGTGGAGGCTGGGTCTCTGAAGCAGCCGTGGCGTCGCCCTCGCCCTCGTCCTCGGCGGTGGCGTCACATCGGCTGTCGGTCATCGGGCTCAGGACCTCGACGTCCTCCACATAGTTTGCCGGAAAGATGCCCTCGGCGCCGTTGACGTCGACGCCACGGAGCCAGAGGCCAAGATCACCGGTGACATTGATGACTTGGCCGGCAACCAAGCTCAGCTCGCCGTCGTAGTCTGCCGGACAGGTGAACAAGGCGCGGACTCTTCTCTGCGGCGCGAGCCGGACAGGCGATCCCGTCGCCAGACTCACAGCCGATCCAAACGAGGCCAGCGGCGGCGGGAACTGGCGGAGATCGCGAGCCATGGCTGCCACCGTCTCCGGCGAGAAAAAGCCTGCGACGGCCAAAGGCAAATCCGCGTGGATAACCTTGTTCAGCGAGTGGCCCACAAAATGAGCCACTACATCCAGATCGTTGCTCTTTCTCCCAGCATACGCCCCCGCCAGGTGGTTGGCCAGTTCTTCTTCCTCCATCCCAGGCACCACCGATGACAGCGAGCCAGCCGCCAATCCCAGACCCGCCCCGCACCGCCTTCGCTCGCACCGAGCATGGTTGACCACCAGCGACTCGGCCGCCGACTTTGCCGTCGCCTCTATCCCGCCATCCTCAATCACTCCTTGCTCCTCTTCCATTCTGCTATACAACCTCTGATTAGGTATGCGTCAAGTGGTGGCTGTTGCAGCCGAGCTTGGCTGCCACCGGGGGCGGGTGTGGATGCGGCTGTGGCTGCGGGCTTTCTCCCTGTCCCGGCGGCTGTTCGCGGCAATGACAGGCTGTGTTCACTTCCTCGCACTCCCGTGACTGCGAGCATCACACAAAGTATACGCTCAGCTCGAGCTCGCCGTGGATCCGCTGGCTACGACGCTCCTCCCCCACCTTGAGCTCAAATCGACGGCGACGGTAGCCGCCGGTGGCCGCAGGGATGGAGGCGAGGCTGATGTCGAGCTCGCCCATGTAGTCGTTGGACGAGAAGCGGTCCCAGTCCCAGACGACGATCTGGATGCACGAGTCCGGGTTGAGGAACGGGCCCGGCCAGCAGACCTGGAACTCCCACACCGGCTCGAGCGACTTTTTGATGACCTTGGTCTGAGCGACGTAGTCGCCGAGGCGGACGACGCAGAACGGGTCAGACTTGCCGAACCGGTCGCGCTTGACCAGGTTATGGCCCGAGTGGATGGTGACGATGATTGCGGCAGCCTTGGTCATTGACGCCTCGAGGTTGTGAATGGCGGAGATCTCCTCGACCGCGTCTTCCCATGTGATGGCCTCGACGGGCTCGGCGCGCGGGTCGAGGAAGCGGAACAGGTAGTTCTTGCCGAGGAAGATGCGGTCGCCCGAGGCAAGCGTCACGGTCTTGTCAAAGTCGACCATGATGCCGTTGACGTACGTCGCCGAGCCGGGCTCATTAATGAGGCTAACGACGCCGTTCTTGTTGCGAAAGGTGCAGTGCCGCGAGTCAATGCCGTCGCCCTTGAGCACAATGGTCGAGCCGTAGGCTTGCCCGACCACGGTCTCGCCGTCCTCGACGACAAACAGGAGGTTGGCGTCGAGCGACGGGTCGACCGAAAGGTTGACCAGCCGCGGCTTGTTGTCGATGTCGAGCATCGAGTCGAGCCCACCAAGTGAGATGCCGGCGTTCTCCAGTACGTCGTGCCGCAGCGCCTCGATGCGCTCGGCTTTGGCCGCCTTGGCCGAGATCGGCTCGTTGAGCTCCAGCAAGACCTCCTGGTTCAGTTCCAGGTTGCCGAGCAGGACCGACATCTCGTCGTCGTCGAGTGCAAAGTCGTTAAAGGTGACTGTCGAGACAACCGACGACCGCCGCTGCATTCGGCGGTTGTCGGAGCCGGACGCGCCGCTCGCCATGCCCGACGACGCTGCCGGCGGCGGCCCACCGCGTTCGCGCCCGCCGCGCCGCCGCTCGCCGAGCTCGGTCTCCAGCCGCGAGATCTCGGCCCGTAGGTTGGCGATGAGCTCGTCCTTGGGTGAGACGTTCTTGCGGACAATGTTGATGACCGACTTGGCCCGCTGCGCAAAGCGGAGCGTCGAGATCGACTCCTTAAAATTGGACGACGCCGGCGAGATGGCGGCGAGCATGACCGTCCGCGAGTTGCCGCCGAGCGACTCTTGAAGCAGTCGCGTGAGGACCGACTCGCGGTATGGGACAAACTTCTTGTGCGACGAGAGTGCGTTGATAACGGCGCCTAACGCCGAGAGCGACTTGTTGATGTGGACAGCCTCCTTGAAGCGGAGGCCCTCGGCCTGCGTGTTCGACTGTCGCTCCGAGCCGGCGAGGTCGACCAGGTTGATTTTGGAGGTGACCCGGGTCTCCGACGAGCCGCTGCCCGACTCGTCGGCCTCGCCCGACCCGCGCGCCGACTCGTCATCGCCGCCGGCCTCGTGCACAATGCGGGTGACAAAGACGGTGAGGACCGAGTGCGACCGCGACGAGGTCTTGTTCATGGCCGTCGCCGCCACTGCACGGATCTTGTTGCCCTCGGTCATGCACTTGTGAATGTCGGCGTAAGACGAGACAAGCACCTTGGAGAGGCCCTGCACAAAGATGCCCATCGTCGCCGACTCGCGGACCTTGAGCTCCTCTTCTGACTGCGGATTGAGCAAATCGGTGATGGCGTCATTGTAGATCTCCAGAAATGAGGTCTCGATGACGTACGAGACGGACTCGCCGAGCTCAACGCCCGGCGCCGATGCCCGCTGCGCCTGCAGCGCGTTGGCCGCCCGCACCCGCGCAAACAGCTCCTGCATGCCCAGTGGGATGATGCCTGGCGCCGACACTGTGCCCGTCATGGTGTGCGTCTTGCCGGCGCCGGTCTGCCCGTACGCAAAGATCGAGGCGTTGTACCCGGCCCATGCGTTGTCGAGGTAGAACTTGCCCAGCTCGCTGAAAATCGTCTCGTTGTTGGCGTAGTTGGGCTCCGACGGCGTCACGCTCGAATCGTAGCAGTAGTCAAAGAGAAAGGTCTTGCGCCCGCGCCGCGGATCGTCGTGCGGGTCCGTAATCACGCACTCTTGCCCCAGCATCGTCACGCACGACGCCGCCCCGAGCGCGTGCTCGCGGTCGTTGAGCGGCCGGACCCGGACCGCGACCTTGACTCGCTGCTGCCGCGGGCCGCGCGCCCGCGCAGACGTCGTCATGCACGTCCGGTCCGTGAGGACCGACCGCTCAGACGGTGCTGCCGACGACGACGTCGACCGCCACGACGCCCGCGACACCAGCGAGTTTCCTGTCCGCGAGCTCCGTCGTGGGCCCGACGCCGGCAGTCCCGGGCTGCTGAATCCGCCGCTTGTTAGGCTCCCGACGTTGTCGTATGCCTCGTTGTTCGAATCCAACTCCGCCGCCAAACCCCCGCCGCCACCTACTCGCCGCGCGTAACTGCTGCTCGCCAAGCTCCCCACGCTATCGTGCGCCTCGCTGTAGCGGTCGAGCCCCGCCGGCGGTGACGACGGCTTGGGTGTCGGCGTCGGCGTCGACGAGCCGACCGATCGCCGTGACGACGTGACTCGCGAGAGCCGCTCCGACCGGGCCTCCCGCCGGCGACGGTACTCATCCAGCCGCGACGACCGTTCGCCCGTCGCCGACTCTGCCTGCCTCCCGGCCCCGCCGTGGTGGTCAGCCAAGCCAGCCGCAGCAGCAGCGCCGCGGCCGTCTCGGCCTTTGTACTGGTGATCATACCCCTGATCGTCATAGTACTCGGTGGCCCTCGGATCAGGCGCCCACGACAGCCGCTTCGAGCTCGTCGATGACGCCAACGAGTACTGCGAGGAGACCCTTGAGGGAAAGTGCGACCTTGATCCAGGGTCGACTCCATCGTCTTCAGCCATGACACTCCTTCGTGAGCTCCTCCGACTTGGCCGACTTCCTCTCGCACCTCCTTGCCTCGCTCCGCTGCTCCTTCTCGACGACGACCGCTGACTGCTCCGCGACGACAACGCCGCCGGTCTATGGTGCGACATGCCGTTCCCTCGCTTGCCCCTGCCTGCTCCCTTCTCCTCCTCCCGAGAGTGCTGTTGGACTTCCCGTTTTTCTGCCTCTCCTTGCCGCCTTGCTCCTCGCCTTGCCCCGAGTGAACGCCATTGGAACGGCACGCCCCGCCCGCCCGCCCCCCTCCTCCCCCATTAGCAAGCCCATCCATGTCCGATTGCGATGCCTTTTCATCCATCGAGCAGCATGGTACCATCGATGGGGATGAGAAGAGGCAAGGACTGTGATTGGATGGGTGATGAGGCATGGATTGTGTGTGCTCTGGTGGTGGTGCGTGGGGAAGGCGGGGGAAGCGGGGAGCGCTACCATGGCAGGGACAAGGCAAACGTGGGCTGGGCGCGCGCGTGTTTGCACTCATTGCTGCAAAGGTGGAAAAATTTGTACAATCCAATCGACACCCCCCACCCACACACACACCCCACACACCCCCCCACACACACCAACACTCACATCATCAAAACATACACATACACACACTCACACACATACACATACTGCCCCTCTGGCCACACTCTATTCCAAAATCCACAACCACGATCGCGAGCTTAAAGCGATTGCAAGCAATCAGACTCACACTCAATCTAACCCTGCACAACAACACACAACACACAACACACAACACACAACACACAACACACATGCCCATCTACCCACCCAAAGACTTGGGCAACTTGATGCGCTGTCATGATGCGGCGACCATGAGGCGCGGATGGGGAAAAAACGCCCAAAGCGGTCAAAACGAGCCACGAGTCGCCCAACTCAACCCGATTCGCCCACTTTCGCCACTCCTACTGCTTCCATTGTGCCTTTCACGTTCGTTTCTTCGTAGCAAACGCCACCCTCCTCTCGTCCTCGTTCCTTCCTTCCCCCCCCCCTCCCCTCCCCCTCTCCCTCTCCCCCTCCCCTTCTTCCTCCTCCCCCCGTTACATCGCCCGATGAAGATCCGCACACCGCTCAAGGTAAGCCGGCGGAAAGAGTTGTGATGGTCGTGAGAAGGTTATATCGCCATCCTCCCCACCCCCCACCCCTTCCCCCCCCCTCGGCCACCATCGCATGCTTGGAACACCCCGTGGCAAGCGTGCGACTTGGAACGTCTCGCCAATGATTGGATGACATTGACTGTTATTTGATTCGATGATTATGATGCGGTTGTTTGCGGAACGAAAGCGGCCGTTTTTTAACCGCCGCCCGTTCGACGACTAGCGAGGCCAGGCCATACCCGTTTGGCCGGATATGTGAGCTTGTGAGCACTTTGTTGCGCGGATCCTATGTTTGAGCACTTCTACACGCTCGCCATCTTTCCCCTTCCCTTCTGTCGGCCTCCGTCCCCTCGGTTGCCTTCTTGCAACGTCACACGCCGGTGGCTGCGTTCGATGGAAGGAAGGATGATGGTACTCCAAATGGTCAATGTGTTGATTACTTGCCCTTGCAACATTGTTGCACCAAGTCAACGGCTTTTGGTGCGGTCATTTTTGCCGCTTTTGTCGTCGCTCCCGCGCGTGCTGCTCCCGCGGCAGCAGCCTTGCAGTCTTCCATCCTCTCAGAAGCTTATGAATGGGCAGGATCATGGGCTGCATCCGAGAAGCGCTAGCTCTTTCGCTCCGGCGGCTGTGGCCGGCGGGTTGAAGACCCGGATGGATGGCCACTTCCAAGGTCGCGGAGCAATTGTTCTTTACAGTTGCGGAGCCTTTTTTTTCGGGCGCCAACCCTTGCCACATTACGGCTCGGCGCGTGGTGGCAACGAACAATCCATCGATGATGGGGACTCACTGTTGTGGCATGGAATGATGGGGCGGCCAACAACAATGCAGACTCGCTGCTCAGAATCGTACGGGCAGTTCCAATGCACATACCCTTCGTGCCACGCGAGCTTCTCGAGCCGACTGGCGGAGAAGATGCACCGGGCCGAGTCGCACCCGCCGCGGCAGACGCATCACGATGCTGAGCTCCTGCACAAGTACATCCGCCGGTTCCAGTGCACGGGATCGGGCGGCAAGCCGTTTGGCCAGGGCCCGCTCGCCTCGTACCGCACCTCGTGGTGCGGCGGCATGGTCAACATGGCTGCGTTGCAGAGCAAGCCGTCGGAGCAGTCGATCTCGTTTGTCTGCCCCTGCCCGGGCTGCGGCTACTCTGCGCCCTCGTCCGAGGACCTCATCCAGCACCACCACTACGCCCACACCCACCAGCATGCCGAGCCGAGCTCTGTCGCCTGCTCATAGACTTGCTGGTCTGGGTGTCGAGGCGTGGGCGCTCTGGACGCGCTAGATGCCGCAAGGCGTGGCCAAACTGCCGCCAGCCAGCTGCTGCAACGCTGCTGCTCTGGCGTCGCACCGTGCCCCTTGTTTTGTTTGTACTCGATGTGATGCTCGTACCTGTGTGCGCTAGAGGTTGACCAGTACATGAAAGAAGTCTCTGCCTGGAGCCCCGCGAGAGCCCGATGCTCACCGCCTGCGTCGCCCGCGGACCTTGGCGCGGTACACGCCGGGTGCCTCCTCGCGGAACGAGATGCGGTTGTCACGAAAGTAGCGGACAACGGCCGGCCGAATCTTAGCCTTGGTCTTGGAGTGGTTGCCGACGCCGGTGATGACCCGCACGCCGCAGTTGGGCTCGTTGCAGCTCCGCCGGTGCTGGAGCAGGTAGCGGGCGAGCACATTGATGGCCTCCTTCTCAAACAGGCCGTGCAGGTCAAGCGAGTGGCCGGTGGCCGAGAACGCGTCCTGCGCGCCAAGGATCGAGCTCACGCGCTGTGCGTTGACCTCACGCATCTCGACGTCGAGGGCGCGACCCTGCGAGGCGAGCCGCGAGGCGAGCGACTTGTTCCCGCTGCGGAACGCCTGCGCCGCTGCCGCAAACGCAGCGTTGCGCTGCCGCGCGAGCGCGTTGGCCTCGCGGCACATGGCATCGGTCTCGCCCGCACTCCGCGCCGGTGCCGCCGCATTGAGATGCGCAAACTGCGACCGTCGGTACGGCTCGGCCGCCACCGGCCGCACAAGCAAGACCGGCCGTGGGCGCGCCGCAAGCGCCGCTGCCTCGGCCGCCGCTGCTGCTGCTGCTTCCGCCCGCCGCTTCGCCTCGGCCTTGGCTCGCCGCTTCGCCACCATGGCATGGACGCCCGGGTACACGCGCGCCAGCGTCTCCACCGTCGCGTCGACATCAAACTCGAGCGAGTCAAACGTCTCGTCAATGACCGCTGCAGGCACCTCTGTATACTGCAGCTCGTCGTGGAGCCGCGCCCGCCGCATCCGCACTGCCATCGATACCTTGGTCAGGCCGCTGCCGCTGCTGCTCGCCCGCGGGCCGACGTACTTGATCCGCGGTCCGACCGCACCGCGGGTGTGCCGCGCCCACGTCCCGCGCGTCGACAGCGCCGTCTGCCTCCCGCCAAGTGCAGGAAACTCGGCGTCGCCTGCGCCAGTGCCTGCGCCTGCGCCTGCACTACTGCTGCTGGCCAGATCCTCCGCCACCATCGCCGCCAGCGACGACGTCGCCGCCTCAACGTCGCCGCCGGCAGACTCCAGGACAGCCACCACCGTCGACGGCTCCACGTCCTCAAACGTGGCGCAGAGCTTGGCCACGAGCCCGTCGTCAAGCACAACCTCCTCCGCCTCGCCGCCGCCCTGGCTCGAGTGGTCGGTCCCGTGGATGAGATCAAGGGCAAGGTCGAGCGCGTCGCCGAGCGCCCCGCCGGCGTCTTCCCATACCACCGCCAGTGCCTCGTCATCCACGTCCGGAAACATGGCCGAGAACATATCAAAGTCGCTCTCGGCTGCCGCAAGCTTAGCCACGGGCGATGTCAGCGAGCCGGCCGCAAACTCAGTGTCCAGCCCGGCCACCACCAACCCGATCGACGCGCTCGCCGCCTTCCGGCCCCACCCCGACGAGCTCATCGCTACCACACTCGAGCTTGCATCCGCGAGCGCGTGTCGTGCCGTCGCCACTCGCCCGTCCGCACCGTCCAGCGCCGCCGCCACTGCGTTGAGGTCGGCCTCTGGAAACTCGCTGCCAAGCACTGCAAGATCCATCTCGCGCTGCTGCGCCTTGTGCGGCTCTAACTCGGGTGCACGCTCTGCTCTCGCGGCGACTGGACCTGCGGCGAGAGCATGCTCAGCTGCTCAGCTGCCACCTCGGCATCGCCGTCGCACTCATCGAGCACCATGGCAACAACTGCGGCGTCGACTGAGGGAAAGTGCTCCGCAAGCGCCATGCAAGTATCGGGCCGCCCGCCGATGGCGTCTTGCTCATCGCGGTCCTCGCCGTCTTCGCCACCACCACAATCCTCACCGTCGGGCGTAAACTCGGCAAGCAGCGCGAGCACAGCGTCCACCTTGTAGCCCTCGTCCTCGAGCAAGACCGCAGCGGCGGCGGCATCCAGATGCGGAAAGCGGGCGAGGACCTCGTTCACCGCCGCCTCGACGTCGACCTCGACTCGCGCCGCGTGCTCCCGCGCATCGGCAGCAAGGACAACAAGAGACCGGGTTGCTTCCTCTACATCGCCGGCAGCCTCGCTCAGCAGAGCTTCCACCAGCCCGGCATCGACAGCCGGGAAGGCGTTGACCAGCTCGGCCACATCCGCCGGATCGAGAACATGATCAGCACCGGAACGATGATGCTCGGCTCGATCCGCCGTCTGAGTCAGAACCAACATGGCCAGGATGTCCCGTGCAGCGCGTGCGTTGCCGTCTTCGCTGTGATACACCTCGGCCACAGTCTCCCCGTCGAGCGTCGGGTACGCCTCCTGCAGCCGCCGCACCTCGTCACGGACACGCTTCCCGCCCCGTCGAACCTCGGTCGGCACCGCTATTGTCACAGCCATACGTTCAGGTGGCTCGCGTTCATACCGAGCCATGATGGTTGAAGGCTTGGGGATGGGTGTGCCCGGGTGGCTCGCCCGTCTCCCCGTCCTCCGTCCGACGTGTCGCCATTGACTGACCCAAATCCCTCGTCCCGCCCGCCTGGTTCGATGAACAGCTCTACAAGGGGCGATACTGGGTGGTTTTTGTTACAGTTGGTACCACTAGCACGGCCATGTGCTTGGCTTGCGATAGCTGTCGGTGATGGACGGTTTCTCCTACAGAGTCTGGTTGCTATGAGCCAGGATGTCGGGCTATGTTTACTATGTCACGATCATGCGGATCGTTTTTTTGCCAACAACTTCCACCATCTGGCCCACCCAGCCCTCACCACCACGGGCACCGGCCCCATCACCTTCCCGGACCATTGCCGACACCTTCCCTACCACCATTCCAGCCCAGACCCTCGCCCTGTTGGCTCCCATCTGCAACAGGGCCCAGCAACCAGGCTGCAATCGGGCGCGGCAATCGGGTGCTGCAATCGGGCGCGGCAATCGGGCGCGGCATCTGGGCGCGACAACCCATGCAGCAGCATCGCTACCGCCAGGCTACGGCAGCATCCTTTCTCACTCTCGATCAATCTCCTCCCCCTTTCCTCCCCATCCCCCATCCCCCCCATCCCCCCATCCCCCATCCCCCATCCCCAACAATTTTTCCCCCCTCACCCCCCACCCGCATCCCCGCCTCCCCACCCGAAAGTCTGCCCAGCTGTGCCCTCCCGCCGACAGACCACGCCACCCCACGCCCCCCCCTCCCCCCTCACCCCCCCCCAACCCGCCACTCTACCCACACGCAGCATGCGGAGGAGATTCGCACGACGGATGCACAGCGCACCGTCTGAGAGCATGACACCGCTCACGCGTGCGTGTCTCGTGGGCGACGTGGACGCTGTGCGGCAGGAGCTGGGAGAGCCGGCGACGGCGTCACGCGAGCTTCGTCGACGGAATCTGGACGGACGGACGGCGGCATTTGCGGCTGTTCTGGGAGGACATGGTCACGTGATCAAGGTGCTGCTGGAGGAGTATCGGCTGGCAAGAGAGACGGCTGCGCTGAGCGATCGCTTTGGTCTCTCGCTCATCCATATGGCCGCATACGTCCGCTCGCCCTCGCTCATCTCGCTCCTTATCGAGGCTGATATCATGCCGCTTCGCCCGGACAAGGCCCACAGATCGCCGCTGCATCTCGCCCTCACTCCGGCCGCTGCAGCACGTGTGTCTGTTGCGGCCTCGTCGTCTGCTGCATCTGCTGTGGCGCCGCTTGCTGGGGACACGCCGCAAGGCCCCGGCGACTCGCGGCTGGCCTGGCTGCATCTGTTGCTCGACACCGACGGCATCGATGTCAACGGCAAGGACGCCAATGGTGTGACGCCGTTAATGATGGCTGTCCTGCTCGACGACGTCGACATTGTCAAGGTCCTCCTCGCTGCCAGCGGAGACATCGAGCTCTGCGACGCCCGCGGCCGCAACATCTTCCACTACGCCGCCTACGGCGGTTTTCGGGTCTACTCCTTCTTGACTGCAGTAGCCACGCCTGCGCAGGTCGACCGGATGTTGGCTGCGCCTGATGCATGTGGCGCGCTCCCGATCTCGGCCGCCATCGCCGCTCTCCACCTTGACGTTGTCGTCGACCTTGTCGATGTCCGCGGCTTTCGAGTCGACACCCTGGATGCTCGCGGCCGCTCGCTGCTCTACACCGCGGCGGCGGCGGCATCGGGCCCAGCCGCCCGCAAGCTTGTTGACCGCGAGTCGGAACTTGTCATCCGCGCGCTCGCCGCGCGCGGCGGGCTCCTGCCACACTCGCCGCCCGTCCCGCACCCGGTCCAGATTGCGCTTGCCAACGGCGACGTGGCCACCGCCCAAGTCCTCGCCTCAGAGCTCCGCGATGCCGGGCACCCGGTCGATGTAGTTGACGCCGCCGGCCGGTCGCTCGTCCACTACGCGGCGCTCCGCGGCCACGTGCCGGCGGTACTCGAGGCGCTGGCCCTACTCGACGCGCCTGACGCGCCCGATGCCGCACCGGTCAACCGCGCCGACACCACAGGCATCACCGCAGCTCACATGGCCGCCGGCGCCGGAAACATCCCGCTCCTGCAGGCGGTGGTGGCGCAGGGCGCGAACCTAGCCGGCCTAGCCGCGTCGGGCCTCTCGCCGCTACATGTTGCCGCGCTCTCGGGTCACTCCAAGGTTGTGGCCTTTCTCCTCGACGCCGGCGTCCGCGCCGAGGCCCGCGCATCGCGGAGCGCGCACCTGGTCACCGCACTGCACCTTGCCGCGCTTGGTGGCGCACGCGACGTCATTACCGCCATCCTTGACGCCGACAAAAGCGCATCTTCGTCGCTGCTGGCCCTGCCCGACGCTCTCGGCCGCCTTCCGCTGCACTGGGCGGCGCTCGGCGGCTCGCTGCCCTGCTTTGACGCCCTCGTTCGCCACGCCGACCAACTCGACGCCCGCGACGCGCTCGGCATGACCCCGCTCGCACTCGCCGTCCAGTGTGGACACGAGGAAATGGCCGAGCAGCTGCTGAGCAGGAGCGTGAAGCTCACCACCATCGACGTCTACGGACGGAGCCCGCTTCACTACGCCGCCCGCAACTGCCACCGCGACATGATCCGTGCCCTCGTCTCTGACGACGACATGGTGCCGGCGCTGATGGTGCCCGACTCGTTGGGCTGGACCCCGCTGTTCGAGGCCGTCCTCGCCGCCGACGAGCGTGCCGTCCGCATCCTCCTCCGCGCCCTGGATGACGGCGCCGCCTCGGACGCACCGGCTGCACTCTTTGCGCCCGACGCCACCGGCGCCTCAGTCGTCCACATTGCGGCTTTTGCCGGCAAACCGGGCGTTCTCGAGCTGCTCATGGACGAGGTTGATCCCGAAAGCGCACCGTACAACGCCGCCGACGCCCACGGTTGCACTCCGCTGCACTACAGCGTCCTCGGAGCCGCCCGCCGGGCCATCGCCGTCACCCCGGGTGATCTGCACCCGCGCCTCGCGGTCGGCCGCTGCGGCGGCGACGACTCAGACTCGGACACAGACTCAGAGCCGTCGTTCGACTCGGGCAACGGCGGCGGCTCGTCCGATGACGAGGCAGACGCCCTCGCCGCCCTCGCCCTGGCTGTCGAGGACTCGGTCCTCCGTGTCCTTGACGATGCCGGCGCCAACCTCGACGCCGCCGACGCGCTCGGCCGCACCTCGCTCCACTACGCCGCCCTCCTCTCCGAGCCGACCTCCATCGCCATCCTCTGCGACCTTGGGGCAACGACCACTCTGCCGGACGCCCGCGGTCTCCCGCCGCTCGGCGCCGCCGTCGTCGCCGGCCACCCGCGCGCCGTCGAGGCTCTACTTGCCGGTGGAGCTCCGGCGCTCACCCGCAACACCGCCCTCGAGACGCCGCTGCACCTCGCCGCTGGCAAGAGCGACGCCACACTGCTCGACATGCTCCTCCGCGAGTTGCTTGACGACGACGACGACGACGACGATGATGATGATGATGATGATGTTGATGACGGCGACGACGATGACGCCAACACTACTCTTTTTGAGGATGCCCAGATGTCGTTTGACGCCGCACCGGGCTCGCTTGGCGCGCTGGTTGTCGGCCAGTCGGCGGTCGATGTTGAAGACGTGTGGGGCCAGACCGCGCTCCACGTCGCGGCCGCCGTTGGCTCACTCGAGTGCGCCGAACTGCTGCTCCGCGCTGGCGCTTCGCCAGACGCGCTGGACGCGGTCGGGCGGAGCCCGCTCCACACCGCCCTCCTCTACACTCGTGGTAACGAGGCCGAGGTCGAGCCGAAGCTCGCGCTCGTCGAGGCTCTTGGCTCGGCCGAGCGTGCGGTTGCTGCCGACGCCGCGGGTTCGACGCCCATCCACGCCGCCGCCGCGGCCGGAGACACGGCCGTCCTCTCTGCGCTGGCGGCTCTCGTGCCGGATGCCTCAGTCGTGGCGTGGCTCACCGATGCAAGCGAGCTCTCTCCGCTCGGCGTCGCCGTCCTCTACGGGCACACCGACGCCGCGTTGCAGCTGCTGCGTCTCGGTGGGCAGCCAGTCCACGCGGTGTACTCGACCGGACTCTCGGTCCTCGCCATTGCCGCCATCCGCAATGTACCGGCAGTCGTCGACGCCATCCTCGACGCGATTGCTCTCGAGAGCGGTGATGCGCTCAGCCTCGTCCTCCAGGTGCCGCTTCACGCCGATCACACCGCGCTCGAGCTCGCGGCTCGGCATAGCGCGTTTGGCGTCGTCGACACCCTTGTCCACCGCGCAGTCGCCGCGTCCGTCAAGGACCACCCACCGCTCCGCCTCGTCGCCGACTCGCTCGCGCCCGCCGACCTCGTCCATCTCCTGGTCTCACTCGGCTCACCGCACGCCGTCGTGGCCAGCGTCAAGCGCTGGGCTGGCCTCGATGACACGGACGGGCCAGCAGAGGCCGTCTCGCTTGGCAAGACCATTGCTCCTTGTCCAGCGACTAGCTCGTCGACAGCCTGGTTCTGGTGGCTCGGTGCGGCTGTGGCGGTCACCAGTCTCGCCGGCATCAGCTACTGGCTTATGGCGCGCACCGCTGGCGAGCAGCGGCCGTTGTAAAGTTCTGACATGTGCGCTGCTGGCAGGCTTTATCGTCAGGTCCGCGGCTCGACCTTGAGCGACTTTTGGTACAGCTCCTCGTCAGCGTCCGGGTAGGTCTGGACGGCGCGCTCGATGTCCTTCTGCAGCCACATGTGGTGTGACATCTCGACGACGACGTCGTCGTAGCCGATGTCTTGGTACCGCTGGATCTCGCGGAGGATGGCGGCGTAGCGGCGACACTTTGTAAAGTTGATGAGGCCGTCGATGGTTGACGGGTTGCCGTCCTCGGTAAATGTCAGGTCGGTGAGGTACATGCCGAGGTAGGGGATGACCGGCGGGTTGACGGCGTGGATCCGCTCGCGGAGCGCCTTCCACGACTTTGCTGACGAGAAGACGTCGACAAGGCCCTCGCGCTTGTTGTGGGTCTTGTTGTCGACCTTGGCCCATGTGACCTGCAGCCGGTAGATGGCGTTGGAGGAGAGGCCGGCGAGAATGCCCATGGTGGCGTTAAAGTTGTGTCGCTCGTACAGCTCGTGTGCGAGGTTGACCATCTTCTTGATGGCGCGCGCGCGGGCCGATGCGGCCTTGGACGCTGACTTTTCGCCGTCGCCGGCTTCCAGGATGGTCGCCGCCACCCACGTCGACATCTTGTTGAACCGCTGGACGAGGGCGAGGACGTTGGGCGATGACTGCTCGCGGCCGTCCTTGGACCATGCCAAGCCAAAGCACTCGCGCGGCTGGATGGCCTCAAAGACGCCAAACTCGTACGAGTTGATGCACGCCGCGAGCTTGCGGACGTCGGCCTTATCAAACGACTTGACCACGCCCGACCGCTTAGTCAGCTTCGGCAGCGTCGCCACCACGTTGAGCGAGGCCAGCCGCCGCTGCTTCTTGCTCGACGACTTGAATTTGCGAAGGACCGAGAGGAAGAGCTTGTGCTGCGACGGAACGTGAACCTTGAGAATTGACTCCATAAAGCCGCGGAGCAGCTGTCCGGCGACAGGCGCCTCGGCAAAGTCCTGCACGTACGTAGAGACCCAAATGCGGAGAAAGTTGATGACCCGGAGCCGGATCGGCCGCACAACCTTGGCCTGGAACTCGGCCTCGTGCTCGGGCTCGAGCTTGACCGGGCACGAGATGCAGAACCGCTCCAGAATGAGCGACATGACGTCTTCGGGCTCGGCCACAGACCGGTAGGTGAGGAGAAACTCGTGCACAAACTCGGTGGCCGGATACGTTGGAAACGTCAGGTGCTGCACCAGGTGCGGCAACGTGGCGGCCTTGATCTTGGGCTCGGGCGACGTCAGCGTGTCCGGCATAAACTTGATAAACGGCGAGTCGGCCACCGTCGTGTGCTCCGCGAGGAGCGTGGCAAGCATGGCAGCCGACGAAAAGCCGGCGCCGCCTGTACCGTCCTCGCTACGCAGGAGCGACATCGTCAGCCGTGCTCGCCCCTGCTCGCGCTCCACCATCAGCAACATGATCTCCGACTTGATCCGCGCTTCCATGGCGTCCACCAAGCCAGTCTCGTTGGCGGCGTTGGCCACCGCTGCCTCGGCCCGCTCTCGCTGCACCTCTGCCAGCGGTAGCGGCGAGAGCTGCGGCTCCACCTCGGGCACCTCCACAAGCCTCACGGTCTTACGGCCATCGGTCGGCCAGCTGACAACGCCGCCGTCCGATGCCTTGTCGCCGGCACCGAGCGATTCCACCTCCAGATCGGGCCCGTACTCGCGGAGTCTGGCGAGCGCGTCCTCGCGCGCAGCCAGCAGCTTGCGCCGGCTCACCAGCAGCTCTGCGTGCGACTCCAGGAGCTGGTGAGTGCGGGCGAGCGCCGCCTGGACTCCGCTCGCTCGCGGGACGAGCGCCTCTAGGTCCGGCTCCAACGCCGCCACCTTAGCCCGCAGCTTGGCCAGCCGCTGCGCCGCCACATCGGCCGACGCCTCCAGCCGTGCAATCGTCAGCCGCGCCTGCACAATCGAGAGCACGTCCTCGGGCGTCACCGTGAGGTGCTGGTAGTCCTGGCTCAGAAGCCGCTCGGTCTCGGCCTTGACCGACGCCACCTCCGCCCGAAGCTCTGTGATGCCGGCCTGCAGCGCCGCATCCTGCTCGGTGAGGACGGCGGCTTCGGCGTCACCGCGCCGGAGAGGCACACCGCCACCAGCCGCGGGCGTCGCGACCTCGGCGTCGGCCACAAACGCCTCCACCTGGGCCAACCCACGCTCCAGCCACGCCTTGTGGCTCCGCAGCATGTCATTCTGACGGTGCCACGCCGCCGACGCTCGGTTTGCTTCGGTCAGCGCACGCACCTGCTGCACAAGCGACGACTTGGTTGCCATCAGCTCGGCGTACCTTGTCGATGCCGCCTCGCGCTGCTCGGCAAGCTCGGCAATCGCCGTCTGAGTCGCGTTGCGCGACGCCTTGAGCTCGACTACCCGTGTCTGCGTCGCCTCGAGCGCTGTCTGCACATGCTTGTTCTGCCGCTCCCACATCTTGGCGTTCTCCACAGATGCCGCCGCCGCCGCGTACGAGTCTCGCAACGCCTCGGCATCAGCCTCGAGCTGCAGCGCCGTGTCCACCAGCGTCGTCTTTTCTGCCACATTAGCCTCCACCTCGGCCTCTAGTTCGGCAACTTTGGCCTTGGCTTCCTCCAGCGAGCTCGTCTTGCGGGTGATCGCCAGCTTGGCCGCCACCTTTTCCAGCACCACCACTCGTTGCGTCGACACCAGCGTCCGCATCAGTTGCAGCTGCCCACATGCCCACAGTAAAATGCCGTTAGTGACGTCATGCCGTGCCCATCCCCGCACCGTGGTCATCGGTCACCGATACCCATTGCAAATCGTTTGCCCGTCCGCGCGTGCGCGTGAGTTGCTCCCGCCCCGGCGCTCGCCCGCCTCCCGCCTACCCACCCTCCCACCCTCCACCAACACTCCCGTACGGCCCCCCTTCCCCCGCTCCCCCCTCCGCCCACCCTTCCACTCTCATGATATGTGCCACGGTACGTCAACCACCCTCTTTGGTGGTTACAGCCGTCCGGGAGGCGGGCAGGGGGGTGGCGTCAGCACAGGCAACAGGTTCAGCAAAAAGCCGTCAGCAACAGGTGGGTGATCTGATCATAACCCCCGCTTGCCGCCCCTCTCCCCCCCCCCCGCCCCCCGCCCCCCCGCCCCCTCCCCTTCCCCTCCCCCTCCCCTTCCCCCCTTCCTGCTGCACGTAGAGGCGTACATGTTCCTCGTTCTGCACGGGGATGGTGGAGAACCTCGCTTCATCCCGCTCTTCCAGTTGGAGCAAGAGGGCTTCATTGGCAGAGCGAAGAGCCTCAGCTTTGGCTTTGGACTCTTTGTAGTCGTCGACAATGGCTTGGATACGGGTACGGAGTTGGACCTTGGACTGGGTGAAGGAGGCCTGGACAGAGGACAGTTCTGCCTGAAGGCGTGCATTCTCCTCCCGCAACTCTTTCATACTACTCTCTTCTACTGCTGCCATCTCGGCTGCACCCACCGGAGTTGCGTGTCACTGGCTTGTTGTCGTCTCGGCCGCCTGTCGCCTGTCACCTTCCGCCTGCCGCCTGCCGCCCGCCCGCCTGCCCGCCTGTTGCTCACTCTCCCGCTCCCTTTTCTGATTTCTTGCCATTTTGAGCTCCTTCACTTGGACAGAGGCCAATATGTGGGTGGTAATTGGGGGGGGTGATGGGAGGTACCTGCCGCAGTGGCAGCGTACGGCGATTGGGGGGAGAGGGAGCGGGAGGGGTGCGTGCGTGCGCCGCCGCAATCAAGGCTCACAGGACGTTGTGATCGAGGGTGTGTGCGTTGACAAAGCCCGCCTCGCCGAACGGCAGGAGCTTAAAGACAATCTTGCCGACGAGGAGACCCATGGGGACGGGGCCCATGGAGCGCGAGTCTGTCGAGTTGGCCAGATTGTCGCCCTGCAGCCACACGTGGCCCGGCGGGATGCGGATGACCGAACTGGAGACGGTGGGATCGACCATGACCACATCCCCGGGCAGACCAAGCAAGCGCTTGCACATGCGCATCTTGGGATCAGAAGGCGACTTGAAGACCACGATGTCTCCCACCTCGATGTCTCCAAAGGTCACTGCCAGATGTGAGGTCACCACCACATCGCCCTCTACGTTAAAAGTGGGCAGCATTGATGGGCCGGAGCACTACCCTCGGTGCGAGTATGTCCGATGCGGATGCCGATAGGTGGTGGTGTTGTCGCCGTAGCCGGGAGCCGATGCGCGATATCGATACGCCATTGCCGATGCCGATGCCGATGCCGATGCCGATGCCGATGCCGATGCCGATGCCGATGCCGATGCCGATGCCGATGCCGATGCCACTCGATGAGTCCCCTCTACTCTCCCCCTCCCCCCTCCCCCTCTCCCCCCCCCCCCCCCCCCCCCCTCCCCACTACGTACCACCGTGATGTCAAAGACGTGCTCGGCAAGGGCGAGAAACCAGGCCGTGGCCAGCGCCGTGGAGCGGAACAGCGACCAAGCTGCTGCTCCCGGTGGACTCGCCATCACTCACACCTTCCACCCTCTTGTGCGGTAGTGGGATGGGCGAGAGAGGCGTGTGTCGGTCTTGGGCCCGGACTCGCTTTTGCTCTCGGTGTCGGTCTCGGCCACCGCGACGCGGCAATGACCGACGGCCGCCGTCGCGCAGTCGACGACGACTTGACAATCTACGCGCTGATCTTTGCCGCCACTGACCGCATCCAAGGCAAAGGCGTTGCGCTCGCGGTTCCAGCTCGCAAATACTGGAAGCGCCATGGTCGATGGCAAGGATACAACTCATACGACGTATGTGCTATGTGCCATTGATGCCGGCTGCACAGATGGCTGTGATGAAGGCCGAAAGGTCACACACACAGCTGCGCAATGAGGGATCCAAAAGGTATGCGTGTATTTGTTGCCTCCATGAGCTCACGGGTACAGTTGATGTGGAAATCACTGCAGCGAGACGCTATGAGCGGCGACTATCGCGGTGGCTAGCCCGAGTGATTCGGTATCGCCACGGACGAGGCCTTGGCCCGATTGCGGTCGTGATAAGCCTTGGCCTCTTGGGCAAACATCTTCTCCACGGCCTCACCGATGTGGCGCTTGCTACCCAGGCGGGTATCGGCCGAAGTGGGCTGCTCTCTGCTTTTCGGCGTCTTGTGGTCATGCTTGATAGCGCTCCCTTCGCACTGATCTGATGAGCGTCGTGAAGACGTGGCCGGTTGGGAACGTTGCCGTTGATACGCCGATAGGCATTCATTTTGCCAAAGCGCACACGGTACTCCACATCCAGTGTTCTCGTCAAGGCGCGAGACTTGCGGCCACTGCAAAATGGAGGACAAGAAGATTGCCACATTCTCCTCGATCCGAGCAATGGGCGGCTGCTCGAACAGTGACAGGCGCTGGCAAACCCTGCACCGAGCGTCAGCATCCCTTGCGCGGAGTTGGCCTTGGAAGTCAAGGGCCGTCAACAGCGGGCGCTCCTCGAGGTTAGGAAAACGAGAAGGCCGCATGGGCGTGTCAGTGCTGCCGACACCGGCCGCAAGGTTCTGCTGCAAGTGCCCAGCCGCGGGAACCTCAGAGTTCGCTAGCTCGACATCATCGGTGACGGAGCCTGCCGTCGCGCTCGCGGTCTCCACCGAGGCCGCCGCGTGCAGCGTCTTTTGCTCCGAGCGCACCTGATTGGGATTGATGGCCATACCAGACAAGAAGAATGAGATGAGTACGTCGAGTAGCGGCTACTGAAGGCTGTAGGCGACCTGTCGCGTAGCTCACCACCTCTGCCGACGTCACACTCTCGGCAAAAAAGGCGCACGGTTTTCTAGCCGCAGCGGATGCTCGTAACACAGCAGCTACAGTGTGATATCGCCCCACACAAGTCGCCACCCGTTGCAAGAACATCATCCTCATGGTCAAGTCCCGCCCCAACACCATGTCGGAGCAGACAAGGCGCGCGCAGCGTGGCCGTGGTTCTCGTCATGGTACCCGCAGCAAGTTCAGCAGGCTGTTGCAAGTCATCTTTCCCCACACCATGGACAAGACTGCGAGGAACACGCGGAAAACGGCGCTCATGCGGGCTATCAAGGAGGCTGCAACCGGTGAGGTCGTCGCCACCATCGACGAGCTGACATCCGGCCTGCGGTCGTTGCTCGTCGCCGACTCGTCGACGGCACAGCTCGCCGGAGCACTACTGACTCCGGATGTTTGCGCAGGCCTTGTCCAGGGATACGCTTTCGAGCCATGCGTCCGCGCCGTGAACCACGATGTGAGTCGCGCAGCCATCGCGCACGAGGTGAACACCACCGGGCGCATCCCGATCAAGAGGTTTGTGGACGAGGCGTGCGTCCGTCACCACCGCATCAACCACATCAGGGTCAAGCGCGAGAAGATGAAACCGAAGTACGCTGGCAAGGACGACATGACCATCGAGGACGAGCTGGCACCATCCGTTGAGGATGTTCAAACTTCGATTGCGGTCATCAAGAGCAGCTTTGAAGGCAGTGCCCAGATCTTGCGCGATGCAACTACGTCTCCGCCCCCACCATCGGGCGCCGCCTAGCGTTTGCGAGATCCCGCGCAACTAGGGCAAAGCAACAATCACGCACCCGATCCGTCCACCTCCCTTTCATCCCCTCCCCTTCCATCACCCCGATCAAATCCCTTTTCTCTCTCCCCCTTCTGCCCTGCTCCCTCAGACTCCCCCCCCCCCTTCCCCCCTTCCCCCCCCTTCCCCCTCACCCCCACCCCAGATCCCGACACCTCCCCCCCACCCCCGTCCCCTCCGCCCCTCCCCTTCCACAGGCCGACCTCCCCTCCTCCACCCCCCCCTAACCCCCCTCTCCACCCCACCCCCCTCTCCCATTACCTCCACCACCAACAGGAGTAGTCATGCTGCGACAGGGCGAGCTTGTGAATGTCCCCACCGAGGAGCATACGCCCGGCCAGACGGCGTTCTCATCCCAGAGCCAACCGGGCGAGGGGAGGACGACCGAGGTGGTACTTCATTCTCAAGGCATGTGGGCCAGTGATGGAAGTGATCGACCTGCTTTGGTGCCGGAGAAGGATCTGACCCAGTTTGATGCTCATTGGGAGAATGTCCGCGTCGCACAGTGGCTGGAAGAGGTACTTGGTGGAGAGCCTGGTGTCGTCGCCTTGCAGTTCCCTGACCATCTCGTGGCCCACGCTCCATCGGTGGCGGCGAGGATGGCTTCGCTGGTCGCCGACTCGGTGGAGATCGTGGTCCTGGCGGATTCGGCTTACTCGGGATGCTGTGTGGACGAGGTGGCGGCTGAGCATGCGCTGGCCAAGGCTCTGGTCCACTACGGCGAGGCCTGCCTCACCGCCACCCTCCGCCTTCCGGTCTGCTACGTCTTCTGTGCCCGCGATGTGCCGGCCGATGAGGTGGCTACTCTTGCCGAGGCCACGGCGGCTGCGGTGCCCGATGGCGTGCGTTCGCTAGTGGTGGCGTACGAGTTGTCACTGGCGGCGCCCGCCGCGGCCATCGCTGCGGCGCTGACGGCGGCGTCGCTCGCGTCAGAGGTAGTGTTCATGGACGCGCGCGCGCCTACTGACGACGCCGCCGATGTGGCCGATGGTGACAGTGAGGGCGTGACGTACGCTATGGGCGGCTTCTCGTTCACGCTGGCGCACAAGCTTGACGCCAGTGCCGACGCGGTGGTGTTTGTGGGCGCCGGTAAGGCGGCAGACTCCAAGCTCTTTACCGCGCTACAGCTCAACCACCCGGGCTTGCGGTTTGTGACAGTAGACGTCGACGCCGGGACCGCCGCGCTCTGCACCGGCTCGACGTCGCGGGCGCTGATGAAGCGGTACATGCTGATCGAAAAGGTCAAGTCTGCCGAGGTCATCGGCCTCCTAGTGGGCACCCTTGCCGTCGGCCCGTACCTGGAGATGCTCGACGAGCTGCGTGCGCTCATCGAGGCTGCAGGGCGGTCGTACTACACGTTCTGCGTGGGCAAGGTCAATGTGCCCAAGCTCGCCAACTTTACCGAGGTCGACGTCTTTGTGGTCGTCTCGTGCCCACTGACTGCGCTCATCGACTCGCGTGAGTACATCAAGCCGCTGGTCACCCCGTTTGAGGCTTTTCTCGCCCTCACCCCGGGCGCCGAGTGGACCGGTGAGTACTCAACCGACTTTGAGCAGACACTTGCAGTCATCGAGGCTGCCGATGCGGCGGCCGACGGGCCGACCGGCGCTGCTGTTGACGGTGGAGCCGACGCCGACGCCGACGATGACGGCGAGCACTTGGTCACCTCGCTCTCGTCCGGTTCGGGCAAGGCCTCGATCCGTGCCTTCTCAATCCGCAAGAAGCACGCCAAGGGAGCAAGCAGTGGCACCGCAGCCCGCTCCTCGGCGGCGGCCTCGTCCTCGGACGCCATCATCTCGCGGTCCGAGGCCAAGCGCCAGCTTGCCCAGACTGACGGGAGTGGCGCGGCGGCGGCGACGTTTGCGGCCCGGACCTGGCGCGGCATCCAGGCCGACGGCAACGCTGCCGACGACGCGGAGGGCGAGAGCAACGCCCCGGCCATGATTGAGGCTGGCCGCTCAGGCCGCGCCGCAAAGTATGCGGCCGAGGGCAGCGGCCTTGCTGGCAGCGAGTAGTACGGCCGGCTTTATTGCTGTCTAGGCATCATTGCTGGCGGCGGCGGCGGCGGCGGCGGCAGCGGCCGACGTCGGCGGCGCACCGGCCGAGATCTTGCGCACCTTTTTCGCCAGCTCGTCCTTGGCCATCTGCTTCTCGAGCGTGGCGTGCACACCCTGCAGTGTCGGCGGCAGGTGCTGGTTGTCGGTCAGAATCTGGGCGTCGACGAGCTCGTCCTTGTCCGGGCGGTCGCGGAGGGCGCGCGAGAGCTTGTCGGCCTTCATCTGCTGCTCCAGCGACTTGTGGGCTGACTGGATGGCTGCAGGTAGGTGCTGGTTGTCGGTCAGAATCTGGGCGTCAACAAGTTCTTCAGCCTGCGGCCGGTCCCGCAGCGCCTTGTTGAGCGCATCCGCCTTGGTTTTGCGCTCGAGCGTGTTCTTCACCCCGGCCAGCGAGTCGGCCACGCCGGCGTCCGGCCGGATCTGCGCCCGATCAAGCTCCTCGACCTCGGGCCGGTCCCGCAGCGCCTTGTTGAGCGCATCCGCCTTGGTCTTGCGCTCGAGCGTGTTCTTCACCCCGGCCAGCGAGTCGGCCACGCCGGCGTCCGGCCGGATCTGCGCCCGATCAAGCTCCTCGACCTCGGGCCGGTCCCGCAGCGCCTTGTTGAGCGCGTCAGCCTTGAGGTTCTTCTCCAGCTGGTTGGCAACTGCGCCTCACGACCACAACAACCAAGTAAGTCACACTCAGACTCCACCACCCGGCGCTACATGGCCTCGATCACCGCCGCCGTTGGTGGGAAAAATACAAAAACCAGTCAGCGGAGAAAAAAAAAGCCGCCACCGCCTACCGCCTTGCCCGAAACCGCGCCTGTAAGCCACCGCACGGAGGGGGAGGGGGGGGGGTGCAGGAGGAAGGGGGGAGGGGGAGCTGAGAGAGCGGGAAAGAAGGATGAGGACATACTCTCGGACATGTTGTATGTGTGCGTGTGAGTGTGAGTGTGGTGTCGGCTCTTGGCTCGTCTTGCCCATGGACACGTGGTCCTTCTGCGGAAGAGCCCGAATGCCACCGAACGAATAGCGACCCAGGGGCACTGTTCGGGGGTGATCATGGGTAGCCAGGGCACCGGGCCTTCTTGCCCTTGCGGCCAAGGAGGGAGGAAGGGGAGGGATGGGGAGGGCCAGCAGCAGCAGCAGCAGCAGCAGCAGCAGCAGCAGCAGCATGCCTTTGATCTGTCGAAATCGGCATCGGCATCAGCTCAGACGCAGATGTGACAGACATCCATGGAACAGTCCCCCGCGCGCTCCCTCCCCCCTCCCCCCTCCCCCCCCCCCCCTCTCTCTCCCCCCTCTCCCCCCCCTCCCTCCCCCTTCCCCCATCATCCATCCATCCATCTACCGCCAGGTCGTCATCGCCCCGTGATCCTGATCGGCAGCCGGCCGCGAGGGTCGAGTCGGAGGCACGGAGCCACCACAGCCTGATACAAAAGCCCAGGACGGAGCACTTGACCACACCGCCACCATTGCTGCCAACACTGATAGGCATGGCGTCGACTCCCCCCGCACCGCCACCTGACTTTCATGCGCCGTCGTACGCAGCCAGCAATCCCCCGGCGACTCCGCCGCCTGTGTCTGCCTCGGTCATGGCGGGTGGCATGGGACATGGCTACGCACATCAGGCTATGGCCTCACCACACGAAGCGATGGCAGCTACAGGCCAGCCAATGTCGACGGCATTCCGATCGATGTCCAACCCGCATGTCCATTTGCACACGCCGCCGCCGTTTGTGGCTGGCTATCCCATGGTGCCTGCCGCACCGACCGCGACACCCGAGCAAGGCGGGGATGGGGTGAGGACATTTGCGGGCAACGGGCCCAAGCGGAAGAAGAAGAAGAGCAAGCGCGAGGCCATGCCGGCGGCGGTGCACTCGTCGGATGTGGGGACGCTGAGATCGGCACTGCGGTCAGAGGTCAGGATCCGCCGCGAGCTACAAAGCAAGATGGTCGAGGTGCAGGCCAAGATTGCGCGGCTGTGGGACTCGCTCCCGGTCGACGTCCACGCCTCGTTTGAGGCTTCGGCGACGCAGTACGATCTTGGGCTCAAGAACGCGTGCACCTTTATTGCGGCGGCAGTCGGTATCCAGTTCCTTGTCAACGGCATTGTGCCGACGGCGCAAGCGTGGGATCTGTTGCTGCGGCTCGGCGGGCAGGCGTATACCTTGGGGCCAACACGGGCGGCGTCACTCACTGAGGCGCTCCCGTCGGTGCTGCGGGTCCTCAACGTGGCCCCGACCCAGCTTGCGCTGTATCCGGATTGGCGGACGTTCCTCTATGACATCACCCCGGGCTACCCGCCTCCGCTGTTGGAGGCGCTCATCGGCCCGCACTCTGCTCTGCTGGAGAGCAAGTATGACCTCAAGGCGGCGCTGATGCCGGATCTGATGCACCTGATGCCGCCGCTGGCGCTCATCCTCACTGGGCACAACGAGACGTACTCGGTCTTGGTCAGCGCGGACCTCAAGGTTCACTTTCGCGACTCGCACGTCACCAGCCAGCACGACTTTGGCGACCTGCACATGTTCTTTGCCTGGCTCGAGGCCAACGAGAACATCCTCGAGCCCGGCGACACGCCCGACGACGACGAGTCGGAGCCCGACGACGAAATGATCATGCATCTCGGACTGCACAACCAGGTTGCCGTCCATCTGCTGCTCCCGCAGCACGCGACATGAGCCGGTTCTATTCTGCTACCGCATCGTTTGTTGCACCGCGCTGCATGGGCTCACACCAGCGGACCGAGCGTCTTCATCAGCTTCATCGCCTGCTTCATCTCCGACGGCGACATGTTCGAGACAACCGACGACGGCACGAGTCCGCCTGTCGCCTCGGACACATGATTCCCGGCCTGCCCGGCTGCAGCCTTGCTGATGTGATCCTTGGACACGTCCATCACGCCGCCCGTCAGCATCGACAGCGCCCCGACGACGGCGAGCGCACAATGTTGGCCAGCTTGAGCGAGTGGGTCAGATACTCGGGATGGAGAAGCAGCTGCTCCGGCGACGGGTTCTTGAGAAACGCCCGGAACTCCTCAGACATAAACGTGGCCTTCATCGCCTCCACACGGCCTTTGACCGCCGTCCCCACCTCGCCCAGCACAGACGACACCTCATCCGGCAGCATCGCGTCGGCTGCCGCCCCAGCAGACGACGCCGCCGCCCCGGCCACACTCGCCGCTGCCGCCATCTTGCCCTTGGCTCCCGACGACTCGAGCGAGTCGTTGGCTGCACCCCACACGCCAGCCAGCCAAGGTCCAGTCGATGACTCGATGATGAGTCGCAGCTTGCCCGAGCCCATGTTCCACAATGTCCCCCCTCCTCCCCCCCCCCCCCCCACAGACCATGCTCTCCCGCATCTCTGGACTCTTCCGGACCAAGCCGCGTGACCGGTTCTCTGTAGACATGGTCATGTTCTACGGCGAGGAGCTTGCAGCCACGCCGGTGGTGACGGACAAGACGGCCGAGGGCGTGGTGGAGATTCTCCGTGCGGTGGCCGAGCTGGTCATCTGGGGCGATCAGAACGACGGAGCCATCTTTGATGCCTTTATGGAGGTTGGCATGTTGGATGCCCTCTTCCGCATTCTCAAGCAGAATCCTCCGCATGTGGTGGTGGTCCAGGGCCTGCAGACCCTCTCCATCCTCCTCTCCCAGATCACGGCCCAGACCTCCATCTACTTTATCCTCTCCAACAACCGCATCAACAACATCATCACACACGCCTTTGACTCGTCAAACGAAGAGATCCTGGCCTATTACGTCACCTTTCTCAAGACCCTTGCCCTCAAGCTCGACAACACCACCATCCAGTTCTTCTTCAACGTCGAGGAGCGGACCTTCCCACTCTACACAGAAGCCATCCGCTACTACAACCACTCCGAGTCCATGATCGCCGCTGCTGTCCGCACCCTCACTCTGCAAGTCTTCCGCATCCCCAATGCTGCTCTCCGCACCTTTCTTGTCTCGCCGCCCGTCGCACCCTACTTTCCCGCCCTCATCACCACCCTCGCCACACACGCCCACCGCCTGCAGGCCGCCGTCACCGCCGCGTCGTCCGATCCGGCCTCGGGCCCGGTCCGCGTCCGTGCTGCGCTCGACGCTCTCCTCGATCACCTCTTCTACATCCACGACATCTACGCCCTCGGCCTGGCCGGCATCAACTCCGTCCTCACTACCTCGCTCCTCAACGACCTCGTCCGCCCGGTCCTCGTTGCCTCGGTCACCCGATCCTCGTCCGAGCTCTCGTCTGAGCTCGCCCTCTTCCTCCTTGCCCAGCTCTTCCACACCCTCGACGACCCACTTCTCATCCGCGCCCTCACCTCGGCGCTCCTCACCGAGGATGTGGCTGTGCGCCAGGCTCTCGTCGCTGCCCTCAATCTTAACGTCGGCACCGACGAGCTGGCGCTCCCGGCCCTCGCCTGCCTCTACGCTGTCGTCAGCAACGATGCCGTCCGCTCCCGCGACCTCGCCGCCGCCGGCCTCGCCCGCGCCCGCCCGCTCTCGCTCACCTCGCTCGCCTCACTCGAGGATCGTGAGTCGACCTCGTGGGGCAACTCGTCGCAGTTCTCGTCGTGTGACTCGGAAATCGCCGAAGCCGAGCCGTCCGACTCGCTAGCAACTGATCTCTCAGCCTCGGCTGCCACGGATGCCTCGACTGTCGAGCCCGCGCCGCCCGCCGAGCACAACGAGCCAGCGCCTCTTCCCGCACCGTCTCTCAGCCTCCTCTCGCTCCCGTCATCATCGCCGGCCGCCTCGCCAGCGGCGTCGGCCACCGACTCGCCGTCAGCCCACGACGCAACCCGCTACGACACACCAAGCCTCGACACTCCGTTCCCAGACGCGTTGCTTGTCACCAAGCTCCTCCTCCTCGCCCACCACCCAACCCGCTCGCGGCTCGCCACCATGCATCTCACCACCGCGCTTCTCAGCCTCCTCCTCGGCTCATCGCTGCCTGCCCATCCTGCGCTCCGCACCTTGTTTGACATTGCCTACGTCCTGGTTGTCGAGCGCCTCCGCTCAGCCTTCTTTGAGCTCCCGCTCAACCTCTTCACTGCCATGTTTGAGGACGAGTACCTCGCCGCCCAGCGCCCGCCGCGGCTGGACCACGCTCTCGCCGACCCGAGCCTCCTGCTCCCGGTGGCGCGGACCTCGCTCTCGGGCCTCGATCTTGCAAAGCGTCTGCCATCCGGCGAGCTCGAAGACGTCACCCGCGCCCTGCAGACCTTTTTTATCTTTCGCAACGCCAAGGCCACGCTCCTGCCACTCACCCTCGCGTCGCCAGCCGGCCTTCCGTGGATCGACGCCCCGCCGCCGCTGGCCGTCGGCGACAGCATCGCCCTACAGAGCCTCCAATCGCCTCCGATGCCGTGCACCGGCTCGCGCGACGCAGACACGCCCGACGCTGCCAACGTTCCGCGAATGCTAGTCATCGCGCCGCCGGCTGCGCCTCACCTGTTTGTTCTCGTCGAGCGGCCTGCCCCCGATGCCGGCGACGCCACCGTTGTCCTTGTCGGCCACCTCGCCGGCCTCGCCGTCACTACCGACGCCACCGACATGTCTGTCATCCACGGCCTTGTTCAGCCGCCATCACCGCTCCTCCGGACCCGCAAGTGGTCGTTCTGGGCTGCTTTCCCCTCCATGTCTGACGCCCTCACCGCCAAGTCGGAGCTCGAGCGCGGGCGCGCGGCCGCGGACGCCGCCCGGCTCACCGCCATCGCCAACCACATGGGCGTCGCGCCATCGTCGCTCACACACGCTCTGTAGCCAAGCAACTTGCAACGCTTTTACACCACCAGAAAGTCCGAGTCCTCGTCAGAGACCTCCTCCAGCTCGCCTGCACCGCGGCAGCCGGCCACCACGTCGCCCTCGCACCTTTTGTGGAGCGCGAGGCCGCACAACGAGCACTCGAGGCAGGCTGACTTGAACAGGCCAAACTCGAGGAGTTCCAGGCAGACGTCGCATGGCTTGTTGCGGTAGCGCTTGCACTTTTCAAACGAGTGCTCGCCGAGCGTGGTCACCGTCACCACGTTGGATGGGCCCGAGGCTCCGACCTCGTTCCGAGCCACCATCACAAACGAGTACTGCGTCGACGGCGAGAGCGTGCCATCGACAGAGGTGTAGCGGTCACCCGAGGAGAAGACCGAGGAGAAGACTCCCGGCGCCTGCGCGTTGACCCCGGCGAGGACCGCTTCAGCTCCGCCCTCGGCCATGTACAGCTCAAACTGCCGCACAGGGGTCCCCCCGTCGTGGACCACGTCCCACTTGAGCGCCACCAGCGAGTGCCCGATGGCAATGTGCGCGTTGTCGTAGTCGATCGCTAGCGACACAGGCATGGGCTCGGCCTTGAGGCACACTACGCGGACCGGCGCCGACGGCTGGCCGACCCCGACGCTCGTCACCGCGCTCACCACCACGCTTGCACTCGAGCCCGGCCGGAGGCCAGATATCCGCGTCGAGAGGCCATCGACGCGGATCTCGTCCCGCCCGGCGACAGCAACCACAAACGCGCTTACGGTGTCCGGCCGCGCCACAGGTGGAGCCGCCCACTCGAGCTGGGCCCAGTCGGTGCCGACATCGGCAACGCGGACAAACGGCGGCGCTCCGGCGCGGGTCTGCGCCAGCGCGCCCGAGCTTAGACTCGCGGCGCCTGACACGCCCATGGCGTTGCGCGCAGAGACCTCAACCGCGTGCGCCGCGCCCGGCAGCAGCCCGCTCACCGTCACCGACCCGAGCCTGTTGGCCGGATTCGCCATGACAGTTGCAGTTCGGACACCGTCGTCGGCGCCGGCCGGCGTAGGGTGGACTCGCGTGACACGGACGTCGTACTGCGTGATGGCCACGCCGCCGTTCCACTGCGGGACCTGCCACGAGACGGTGAGTGCGTCTGGAGCCGCGGCCACGATCCGCAGCGCCCGCGGCGGCGACGGCGCCGCGGCTTGCGTCGAGACCATCACCACGGCGCCGTCGTCCGACTCGCCAGCCTCGCTCGCAGCCGCCACTCGGAACCCGTACCGGGTCCCCGGCCGCAGACCGGTGAGCGCCACCGAGGTCTCGGTCGACCCAGTCGGGATGCCGCGCGCAAACGACATGTCCGGCTCCGGCATGGAGCCGGTCCACTCGCTGTCGAGCTCCTCCTCCAGCACGGCGAGGTACACCACGTACTCGCTGAGCGGCACCGCGCCGGCATGTGGCGGCTGCCAGGTCAGGACCAACGTCCGCTCGCGGACGTGGCTCGCCTCGACCTGCGCCACCCCGGGCGGGAGCGTGGTGACGGCCAAGCCGCTCGGCAACGACACGCCGTGCTCCGTCCGCGCTCGCACCTCAATGTCAAAGACCGACGACGGCGCCAGGACGTCGACCTCGGCCACCGGCGCCGTCGTCGTCGCCACCAGTTCGCCGTTGACCACAACCTCAAAGGCCTCGTAAACGGCGCCCTCGTCGATCGGGGCAGGGACCCATGAGAGCGACGCACTCGTCGCCGACACGTTGTCCGCCGTCACCTCGAGTGGCGGCGCAGGCAACGTTGGGTGCGAGACCTCGTCCGACGCCTCGCCGGCGCCGAGGTCCGACACGCTCCGTACGCAAACAATGTACGTCGTACCCGGCACGAGGCCGTCCAGCGCCAGCCGCGGAGCCTCGTCTGCCGCCACCACGGCCGGGTGCGGCGGGTAGCTGTCGCATTCGGCCAGCGTTGTGACGTGAACCTGGTAGCCAACAAGCTCTAGGCTAGCCACCGGCGCCACCGGCGTCCAGGTCACCACCATCGAGTTGGCCTCGACGTCGACAAGCGCCACGTCGGCTGGCGGCCCGTAGAGAGTGGTGAAATCGGCCGCGAGGTCGGCGGCCGAGCCCGCCATCATAGCCACGTGCGCAAAGTGTGGCGGCGGCGTCGCCGCCACCACCACGCCGTACCGGGTGGCCGGCGCGAGGCCATCGGCCCGCACGTACGCCACACTCCCGTCGAGCGGTGCAGTGGTGAGCGGTGCGCCGACCACAGCGCCGGTCTCGGCGTCGAGGGCAAAGACCGAGACCGCAAGCAGCGAGTCGCCTGCAGCGTTGGCCGGTGGCGGCGAGAGCTGGTACACCGCATAGTCCGAGCTCACCTCGCCGTCACCGATGCACTGCGCCACGTTCGCCAGACTCGGCGAGGTGATGCCCTGCAGCCTGACCGGTGCCGAGCTGCCGAGTTCGTTGGCGACCGAGACTTGGACGTCGACCATTGCCGACGGCTTCAAACCGCCGAGTGTGACTTCGACGGTGGCGCCGGGGGTGGCGACCGGGTGGGAGCTCGCCAGCTCGCCGCATACCAGCTCGATCTCGCGGAGAGCTGCGCCACCGGAAAACGGCGAGAGCGTGACCATGAAAGCCATGGCGTCGGTCGAGGCACGGACCTGGACGACCTCGACCGGCGGCGGCGGGTGCGCCGGAGCCGACGCCACGCGGGTGATCCACGGCAGCGACGCCAGCTCACCGAGCACTGCCACCACGCTCACCTGGAGCACAGCGCCTGAAACGCCAGTCGGGAGGTGGACGACCGCGTCGCCGGCCGGCACAGTCGTCGTCTCGCCCGCGCTGAGTGTCGTTCCGTCGTCGGCGATCGAAACAGCGTCGAGGCGGAGTGACTCGACGGCCGGGCCGAGCGCGCCGGGAGGAACCCGGACAGTGAGCGCGAGGCCACCGCCGGGCCGCGGCGCGGCCGCCAGCTCGATGCTACTCGGCGGCGACGGCGCCGACCGCAGCGTCAACCGCTCTCCCGAGTACGCCACGCCGTGCTCGTTGGCGACCGCGATGGCGACGTGAGTCTCGGAGCCGGGCGCGAGGCCGCCAAGCAGAATGCCGTTGCGGGCTGCCGGCGGGAGAGGGGCGGCAAAGACCAGGGCCTCGCTCGAGTCCCAGCCAACGATAAAGCCGCGCTCGTCGGCGGCGGTCTCAGCGCGCTCGGGCCAGGCGAGCGCCATGACCGGGCCGCCTGGCAGGGATCGAGCGGCGGTGGCGACGTGAGTGATGGGCGGCGGGAGAACAAACCGAGTCTCGGCGTTGACGGTGGCCGAGTCGCGGCCGTCGCCCGAGCCAGTCACGGCGCGGACCTTGACCTCGTACTGGACTTCGAGGGTGAGATCGCGGATGAGAGCCGAGGCATTGGGCGCGACAAGCCCGCCGCCGCCCCAGGCTTGGGCGCCAGCCGGGCGGCAGAAAACTCGGTAGGCCTCGATCGGCGAGCCGCCGTTGTGCGGCGGATCCCAGGTAAGGCTGAGCGTGCCGGCGGCGGAGCAGCGGGCGACGAGGCCGCCGGGCGCCTCTGCGCGGCCGACCGGGCGGAAGCATGGCTCACAGACAAAGACACGGCACTCAAGGCAGGCCATGACCGGCGAGCCGCGCGGCGTGTCTGAGCAAACCGCGCACTGCCAGGCGAGGCCCGACGGCGCACTTCGCCTGGTGTGCATGTAGTGCCAGTGCGTGGTGGAGAGGAGCGACTCGGTCCGCTCCTCGCCACAAGTCTCACAGAGCACGACCTCGTACCCGCCCTCCATGGGCGTGCACCACTGCGGGCAGAGGAACCGTGGCGTGTGGGCGGCGATGGACGAGCCACAGCCCGAGCATGCTGCCGAGACGGCCACGCGCTCGCTGGCGGTCACCAGCTCCAGCGGGTGCTCGTGAACCACGTGCTTGGTCGGCTTGGTGAGGAGGACTTGCGGCGCAGCAACCTCATCCCAGGTGGTGGCCGAGATGAGAGGAAAACGCGAGGCGCGCGGCGCCGCAGCCGTGTCAGCATTGTTGGCAGCAGCAGCAGCGGCGGCAGCAGCAGCGGTGGATGACGATGACGCTGCGGCGGCGCTGCCTGCGGTAGAGCCAGCCGGCTCGGCAGCGGGCTCAGCAGCGGGCTCGGTGCCGGCGAGCGCCAGGACGACGGTCTCATCGACGCCAAAGAGCGCGGCGAGGACCGCAGCCGGCGGTGCAGCCGGCTCGGCGAGGTGCGGAAGAGGCGGGAACGCCGACGCGTCAAGCACCGGCGTAGTGTCGAGATCGAGGTCGAGGGCCGCAGAGAGGGGGAGGAGCGAGTTGGGATCGGCCTCGGGGTCTGAGGCGGCGGCGGCGGAGTTGTCGCCAGAGGCGGCGCTGGCACCGGCAGCGTCGGACGATGGGGCCGGGTCAGAGTCGGAAGCCGGCGTGAGGATGCTGGTGTCGGGAAAGACGTCGACATAGCCGGGGAGAACGTCGTCCATGTGTGTGATGCGGCGCTCCTCGCGGATGGCGTCGAGGCGATGGCCGGAGGCGAGCGCCGGGCGGTGAGCACGGAGAGCGGTAAGCGCGGCCTCGAGGTCGGGAACGACGGCGAGGAAAGCCTCGAGGGTGGGGATGGAGGAGGCAGCGACGACGACCGGGTGGGTACCGTCGGACTTGCGGAGAGAGCAATTTGCGCCTGCGCGGACCAACTGATGGACCATGTCGTTGTGGCCGCGCTCGAGGGCGAGGACAAGCGGGGTGGCGCCGGAGTGGACCTGCGCGTTGATGTCTGCCCCGGCGTCGAGGAGGGCAGAGACACAGGAGGGGAACGGCTTGTGCGATGCGGTGTGCAGCGGGGCCCAGCCATCGGTGTGCTTGGCAATGTTCGGGTTTGCGCCGCCATCCAGGAGGATGTGAACCAGCTCAAGGTTGCCTTTCTGGGCGGCGATGTAGAGCGCAGTAGCGCCGTTGTGGTTGACAAGGTTGAGTGGGGTGCGGCGGCGGACGAGGCGGTCGACGACGTCGACGTGCGGCTTGTGTGTGGCGATGAGGAGCGGGGCCCAGCCGTCAGTGTGCTTACCGGTGGAAGCATCCGCGCCAAAGTCGAGGAGCAGGTCGACGACGTCGGCGTGGCCGTTCTGGGCGGCCATGTAGAGGGCGGTTGCGCCGTTCCAGTTTGCGCAGTTGGCATACGCGCCAGCATCGAGGAGAAGTTGGGCGACGGCAATGTGGCCGCGGTGGGCTGCAGTGAGAAGCGAGGACCAGCCGTCAGACTTTGAGATGCGCGGGTTAGCGCCCGCAGCGAGGAGCGCGCCCACAATGGAGTTTCCGCCCTTGTCGCACGCGGTGTAGAGCGGTGTGGAACCGTCGTTCTTGGCCATGTCGATGTCAGCGCCTGCGGCGATGAGGGCGGCGACGACCTCGGCGTTCTGCGACTGCGAGGCGACAAAAAGGGCGGTTGCGCCGTTGTTGTTCTGCTGATTGAGGGCCACGCCATGGGCGATGAGGATGTCAACGACGGCAAGGTGCGGCTTTTGGGCAGCGATGAGCAGCGGGGTCCAGCCGTCGGTTGACTTGGCGATGGACGCGTCTGCGCCGGCATCGAGCAGGATCTGGACAACCTGACCATGGCCATTCTGCGAGGCGACGTACAGCGCGGTAGCGCCGTTTCTGTTGCAGTTGTTGAGGCTCGCGCCAGCGTCGACCAGCAGCTGAACACACTCGACAAAGCCCTGATGAGAGGCTGTGAGCAGCGGGGCCCAGCCGTCCGTCTTGGCAGCATTGACGTCGACATTTGGCGTGCCGAGCAGCATGCGCACCGCATCAATCGAGTTGCGTTCTATACGTGGGTCATGCGTGAGTGACAAGCCGAGGTCGTGCGCACACCCCTTCACCATGCCCCCCCCCCCCCCCCCCCCCCCTTTCCCCTACGTACCCACTGCAGCATAAAGCGGAGTAGCGGCCGAGGATGATAGCCTGGCATTGGGATCTGTACCCATGGCCAGCATGCCCCTCAGCCTATTGACATCATTCTCCCGTGCGGCAGCATGGATACTGTTCCCCGCACCACCATGCGCAGCAGAAGTGGTGGAAGACGAGCCTGCGGTCGACGACGAGCTCCTTCCCGACGGACGCCACGACATGTTCCCGACAACAACAAGGTGGCTGTGGTTGAGGTGGTGGCTGTGGCGGTGTGTATGTGTGTGTGAGGTGTGTGTGTGTGTGTGTGTGTGTGTGTGCGTGTGTGTGTGTCGTGAGGTGGTTCCCTTTGTCCGCCCCCCGTCTGGCCATCCCCCCCCCCCCTTCCCCTCTTTGTGCCGAGTCCGCCTGAGGAACCTCCATTCGATGCCCTTGCCCAGGTCACACACACACACACACACACACACACACATACACACACACATACACACACACACACACAGATACCCCGAGCGGGAGATCGGAGACGGAACGCGCAGTGTTGGCTGGTGATGACAGGTGATGGTTGGTGATCGGCTGGTGATGGCTGGTGACGGCTAGCTATCGCTGGCGGTGGCGGGGGACAGCTGGCGGCCATCACGGCTGGCGGTAGGCGACAGAGGCGTGCGCAGGCGGTGACGGCTGGCGGCTGGCGGCCATCGCGGCTGGCGGTGGGCGACTTGCGTGCGCGGGGCGGTGACAGGCCACGTGGCGCTTGCTGACGGTGCTGCTGTCGGGGAGAGAGGGCGCACGACTTGACGCAAGACGTCATCGCGACAGTGAGGAGGGAGACGGAGTAATAGAGTACAGGTGTGGTTGGCTATGGTGCGCTTTCCTCCGGCACGGAGCGCGGAAGAGGCCGCGGCTGCGACGGCGGGTGCGACGGCTGCCGAGGCCAAGTCGGGCCGGGTACTCGGACTGTACATGGTGATCGGACTGTTTCCGGTGGTGCTGTCGGCGTATGCGACGGTGCAGTATCTGCTGACATGCGTGGAGGAGCAGGTGGCCCTGGAAGCCATGACACACAAGCTTCCGGATCTGATTGCGGCCGCCATCCCGGTCTTTGTTGTGTGTGTGGCCTCTGAGGCGGTGGCCGACGCTTGGGCTGGAACCGGGTACTACCGGCTCAACGATGCGATCTCGTCGCTCTCGGCTGGGATGACCCAGCAAGCGACGGGAGCGTTGATCAAAGCCGCAGGGATTTTCCCCTACGCCTGGGTCCATACCAACATGCGGCTGATTGAGGTAGACGCGAGCTCGTGGCTGGTCGGCCTCGGCGTGTTTCTTGCTGTTGAGCATGGGTACTACTGCATGCATCGGTTTGCCCACGAGTGGAACCTCGGGTGGGCCGGGCATGTTGTGCATCACTCGTCAGAGGAGTACAATCTGACGACTGCGCTCCGACAGGGCGTGCTGCAGCCGTTCTTCTCGTGGATGTTCTACGTGCCGTACGCGCTCATCTTCCCGCTCGAGCTCTACGTCCTGCACAACCAGATCAACACGCTGTACCAGTTTTGGATCCACACGCGGTTCATCACCCGCCTCCCCTGGCCGTTGGAGCTTGTCTTCAACACGCCGTCGCACCATCGGGTCCACCACGGCCGCAACGAGCAGTACATTGACAAGAACTACGGCGGAACACTCATCATCTTTGACCGGCTCTATGGCACGTTTGAGCCCGAGGACGAGGACGTGATCTACGGCATCACGCACTCGCTGGAGACGTGGAACCCGGTGTACATCCAGAGCCATCACTTGATCGAGACGGTGGCGACCGCGGTGGCGTCGACAACGGTGGCGGCCAAGGTGCGGACGTTCCTGGACTACGGCCCGGGCTACAACTACCGGCTCGCCAACCACGAGGCGTTGCAGTCTGCCAGCGCGTGTGCAGAGCCCAAGCGAGCTGGTCCGCCGACGCCTCGGATCCGGCACGACGCGGGGCCGGCGTCGGGTGCACTCGCGGTCTACTGCGGCCTCTCGGTGACAATGGCCATTCTCGAGATCGCTGACCAACTCAAGCTCCAGAGCCGGCTTTCGCTGCTCGACTCTTCACTCTACGGCGCATACGTCATCTTCCATGTCACGGCCGTCTCGCTCATTCTCGACGGCTCGGTGTGGGCGTGGCTGGTGGTCCCGCTCCGCTGGATCGCTTATGCAGCGCTCGCCGCTAACACTGCGATGCCTCAGGTTGAAGCTGCGTTTGGCGGATCGTTTGCGCTCTTTGCGCTCTCGCCGACAACGGCATGGGTAGTGGCGGCCGTTGGTGCGTGCGCGTTCCTTGCAGCTGCGGCTACCGCACCGCGCGCGCCGCCGCCGGGCAAAGTCAAGGCCGGATGACGAGTGTCCCACGAGTACAGCATAGCACACACAGGATGCGTGTCACACTGCTCCACAGCTAGATCGAGTCAGCAGCACGGATGAGGCCAAGCTTGTGGGCCTCGCGCCAAAGCCGGTCGGTCTGTGGCGAGGCCAGAAGGAGGGCGGCGGCCGCCGGCGAGGCATCCATGACAGCGTCGAGGCGGTCGCTGGGCCCAAAGAGAGCGGGATCCAGGACAGGCACATGTGGCGGGATGGTGCTCGCGCTGGCATCGGCCACCACCCCCATCAGCGATATGGGCGGCTCGTCACCAGGATGGCTCGGGAGAGCTGTCGGCTCTCTCAGCGGGAGCACGCACTCGCGCTCGAGCGCATGGCCAAGGATGTCGGTGACAAACGCGGCCTGGCTCTCGACAATGGCGTCGACATCGAGCCCTGCAGGCGGCAGCTGTACCTGCTGACGGGCATACCGCGACATAGTCCGCACCAGCGCCGCCGCTGCATCACCGGGAGCGCGAAGCAGGGCGCCGGCAGAGATGTACCATCCACGGGTGTCAGACTCGCCGCGCACATCCGGCACGGGCACCAGCCCGGCATCGCTTCCTCGTCCGAGCACAAACCGGAACAGGAAGCCTGAATCAGCGCGCGACGCGGCATGGTTGACCCAAGCGGTTCGTGACAGCAAGCAGCAGAAGGAACGTGGACGTGCATGAGTGTTGTTGTTGCTGTCGTTGTTGCGTCATTCGCACGCGATGAGCTCAAGCACACCATGGCATCATGCCATGTCGCCCACATCAGTCCCTCCTCCCGCCCTCCTCCTCGCTGTGCTCAACCTACTGGTGGGCAACTGGCGGCGGAGAAAGACACAAGAGCGCAGCGGAGCAGCCAAGACGGCCACAGGTCCTGTTCTTTGCAACAACATGCCAGCCTTGCTCTTCCTGTCGCACCGAGTTTGAGTGGTGTCTGTCTCTGTCTGTTTCTGTATCTCCGTCTGAGTCGAGGCCCTCATCCCGTCGTGCCCCCCCCCCCTCCCACCACCACCACCACCACCACCACCACCACCACCACCACCACCATCAATCCCAACCACTGGCCACCACCACCATCAACCCAACCACTGGCCATCCCATCATCCCATCCGTCATCCCCCC